GGATCGCCGGAGCCCAGCAGGTCGAGGCTGCGGTGGGCGCGAGCAGCCACTGCACTCCAGTCTGGGTGACAGAGTGAGACTCCAACTCAAAAAAAAAAAAAAAAAAAAAGGAAATTACTCCATCTCAGGTATTGTTAGAGCAGCACAAAATGAATGAAGACAATTGGTCTTCTATGTTTTTTATTGCATGAGTAATGATATTCATAATTGCATAATACATGCTCATTCTAGAAAATGCAGCTAAGGAAAACTAATGTTTAAAATAATCCATCATGGCTGGGTATGGTGGCTCACACCTGTAATATCAGCATTTTGGAAGGCCAAGGCAAGAAGATCACTTGACCCCAGGAGTTCAAGACTGGCCTAGGCAACATAGTGAGACCTTGTCTCTACAAAAAAATAAAAGTATTAGCTGGGCCTGGTGGTGCATGCCTGTAGTCCCAGCTAATTAGGAAGCTGAGGTGGAGGGATTATCTGAGCCCAGGAGGTTGAAGCTACAATGAATTGTGATTATGTCACTGCACTCCAGCCTGGGCCACAGAGTGAGATCTCAACAAAAAAAAAGAAAAAAAAAAGAAAAGAATTCATCATCCAGAGATAATGGATTATATGTGTTTTTTGAGATATATATAGATATATAAATTTTACAATATACACCCAAAATTTCAAAACATATAATGTATATTTTTAAATGCAGATATATACATAATATGTTTATAACATCCTTTTACATTAAAAATATCATATACATTTTAGATACCAATAATTCTAGTTCTTCAAAATTGTTGTCAGTTGAACACAGGTAAGTATCTATCACCATTTACTCTGACATCCTTCTATTATTAGACTTTATAAACAGTGCTTCACTAAAGATCTTCCAGCTAAATCCTTGCCAACATCCTTAATTACTTCAGACAGATTTTAAGAAGTAAATTCATTAAATTGAAGAATAAACACGTTTTGTGAGTGTTGACTGACACCTCGTGGAAAGTCAACTTGTTGCCAGCTATTTCAAGACTTCTCTGCCTTTGCATCAGCACTGAAGCAACAGAGAAGAGTGAACCATTTTCCTGGCAATCTAATGGCTGAGGTCTGTGATTGTGACTGATGATTCATGTCAGACTGACATTCTCACTGTTACGTGGCAATTTCTATGTCCATGTTGGGACCAGTCAAAAGCTGTGCTTCTCCAACCACAGACTGGTGGTAACGTTTCCACACCTTTCCAACATAAAAGTATTTACATGGAAACTTCACAGAATAAATCCCCATTTGTTTTAGCTGAAGCAAAACTCAGGCACAATTTATGAGAGCAGCCATAGTATAACTCCAGTGAGAACTATTTCCTAGGCATTTAAACAGCACTTCGAGGGTTGGAAATTCTAACCAGACCAGCAGAGGGCACTGTGCAGGAATAGCCAGAGGACTGAGCACCGTATGATGAGGGCTGACCACACTGCTTTCATCTCTGGAAATTCTGAGACCCTCAGATGCTGCACACCGAAACTTTTGCTGCAGAGAAGAATCTGATTCTGTTCCATGGGGGTGGCAAGTGGTGGGGAAGAAGTGGTTTAGCAGGCCCGGGTTCCTGAGGACACATGTTTAGGCTTGAGGTGGGGTGGGGTGGGGGAATTGTAGGGAATGGCATCATATTAGAAGCATCCTGCAGACTTCTTCTTTCCTTAGCTGGGCCACCATTTTGTACCATAGGATGAGGAAAGCCAGTTAGAGAGGACTGTAAGTCCAGTAGGTCAGAACGATGAGGTCTAATGAATTGGCTTTAGCTGGTTCAGAAAGGGGTTGGTCAAAGCAGATATGTTTTGGACTGCAATTAAAGACTTGAACTTGAGATTGAGAAATCAAGGACAGAGGCAGACCCTTAGCTTCTCAGTGCAGCCAGCAAGGGAACTCCTGGAATGGTTTCCCAGGAATGGCAAGAAAGCACTAATAGAGACCAGTTTTGTTGTTTTGTTTTGTTTTGTTTTGTTCTATTTTAAAGATGTGGGGTACAATTCAGGATTAGGTACAAGTGGTCATCGTACAGGTAAAGTTTGGGAACCCTTATTGATGTTGTGTCCCTCACCCCCACCCCCACTCTGGAAGTATAGCACTACTGCCAATCTCTTTCTTATAGTATTATGATAAATGTTCAGTGTCCGTTTATGAGTGAGAACATGCGGTACTCTGTTCTTTGTTTCTGTGATAAATCACTGAGTATGATAGACTAAATCCATCCAAGTTGCTGCGAAGTCTATGTTTGTCCTTCTTTATGGCTGAGTAATATTCCATTATGCATATGTATCACATTTTTTATCCAGTCCAGTTTCAATGGGCAGCACAGTTCTATGTTGTTGCTATTGTAAGTAGTGCTGCAATAAACATGCATGTACAGGGATCTTTTTTGTAGAATGATTTGAGTTCCTCTGGGTATATTCCCAGTAGGGGGATTGCTGGGTCAAATGGAATTCAATGTCTAATTCTTTTAGAAATAGCCACACTGTCTCTCCCAAAGAGGTTGTACTAATTTGTATTCCCACTAGCAGAGTAGAAGCGTCCCTTTTTCTCCACATCCTCACCAGCATATGTTGTTTTTGTTTTATTAATGATGGCCATTCTTACTGGGGTTGGGTGATATCTCAATGTGGTTTTTATTTGCATTTCTCTGATGATTAGTGAGGTTGAGCACTTTTTCATGTGTCTGTTGACTGAGAGGCCAGTTTTGAAAAGTAGCATTATCATCATGCTTGTTAGAGAGTCATGGAAGAGAAATTGTCCAAAACTTAGAAGAAAAAAGAAAACCTTGGTCTCCAACTGTACCAACTTAAATGTTAGAAAATCTAAATATGTGTGGAAACACAGAATTAAAAGAACAGCATGGCCGGGCTCGGTGGCTCAGCCTGTAATCCCGTGCTTTGAGAGGCCGAGGTAAGTGAATTGCCTGAGCCTGTGGGTTTGAGACCCGCCTGGGCAACTTGGTGAGACCTCATCTCTACAATAAATCAAAAATTAGCTGGGTGTGGTAGCACGCGCCTGTAATTCCGGCTATTCGGAAGCCTGAGGCAGAAGGATCACCGGAGCCCAGCAGGTCGAGGCTGCAGTGGCCGGGAGTAGCTACTGCACTCCGGTCTGGGTGACAGAGTGAGACTCCAACTCGGAAACAAACAAACAAACAAACAAACAAAACCAAAAAACAAAAACAAAGAACAGCATGTTAAATTTCTGAACACTCCCAAGGAAGAAGGTGATACATACCTCAGCCTGTTTTTAAAGACTGGAAAAGTTACAATTTGAATGTGTAGATTCAGTGGCCACTTACAGCAATGTTGGGGTCTCCAGGGCTAACATGCACAAGATGTTTATAAGGCAGTGTTCTGCAGACAAACACCTGAGGAAGGAAGGGAAAGAAACTGGACTGGGCAGGTTACCCAGGCAGATTCCATGGAGAGCCCAGAAGATAGAATGGCCCATCAAGGGTTGTCCTCCATTAGACTGAAATGGCACAGCCTTCATAGTCCCACCTGGATCAGTCCTGTATTGGGGCTACCCTGGATCAGTTCTGGACTGGGGCTACCCTGGGGCAGCATGACCTTAGGTGAGATGGCTCTATGCAACTGAATAATCACAGAAGAGGTTAATAGCTGAAAGACCCTGCCAACAGCCCTCCTTGCAGCCAGGCCATCTTAAGAGAAATCTGGTGGGCACATCTCTGTGTCTGGCACAATACATTTTGTGGACACTTACACTACATGTCTGGCACAATACATTTTGTGGACACTTACACTACATGAGCCCTGAAGTTCCTCTCACCCTACCCCCCTTTCCAAATTTCTGTAGGAGAGCATGAAAGGGGTGAAGTGCAGGCTGAGAGGAGGTAACAAGTTCTCTCTAAAGGAACTACGGGTGTTCAGTAATGCTCTTATTTTACTCACATACCTTGGTAATCATATCAGCACAAGCACACAAATATGGCTAAGTGATGATGCTTAATAAAACTGTCCTAAACTGTCAATCATAAAATAGAACTTGATCAACCATACTAATGACTGAATTATCTTCCTATTCTTTTTTTTTTGAGTAGGAGTCTCACTCTGTCGCCCAGGCTGGAGTGCAGTGGCACACTCACAGCCACCCCAGTGTCAACCTGCTGGGCTCTGACGATCCTTTCACCTCAGCCTTCCAAGTAGCCAGAAGTACAGGCGCGCACTACCATTCCTGGCTAATTTTTGATTTACTGTAGAGGCAAGGTTTGCCAAGTTGCTCGAGCTGGTCTTGAATCTGCGGGCTCAGGCAATCCACTCGCCTCCCAAAGTGTGGGACTGCTGAACCACCAAGCCCGGTCCTATTCTCTTTAGAGAAAATATCGCAAGGTTAGCTGGGTGTGGTGACACATGCCTGTAATCCTTACTACTAGGGAGGCCTTACTACAGGGAACATCGCTTGAGCCCAGGAGTTCCTGGCTACAGTAAGCTATGACTGCTCCACTGCACTCCAGCCTAAACTCTGTCTAGAGAGAGCCAAACCCTGTCTCCAGAGGAGAGGAAGGGAGCACAAAGGAGGGGAGAGGAGGAGAGGGGAGGGGAGGGGAGGAGGAGGAAGAAGAGATGAAAGTGAAAGAAAAAAGAAAATATTTCAAGATTATTATCAATGAAGAAGCAGAATATACAATCAGAAATATATAGGGGGAAACGGTGTGTCCGGTTAATAAAAATACTTTATTTTCCTGGATTAGAATTTGTCGGCATTTTTAAACATGTCATTTGTGGAAATTTGTTTTTTCCATGTAAATGGATATTCACTTCCCGGTCTCCTTTTGTACTGGTAGTTGGCGTAATTTTTCTAACCCTCCACTCCCCGCCCCCCGCTCTCATAACTGCGCTAGAGCTCTAGGCTGACGGGGTGAGGAAGTCTGCCTAAAGGAGGCGGGGCGGCTGCCCCACCCTGCGGTGAGACTCAAGCGGGTCATCCAGACATCTCTAGGCCGCATTTATCTCAAGTGAACAATGGGGGAATGGTGCGTATTTCACAGGATTCTCGCGCGGTACAGCCGATTAAAAAGCACGAGAGCAGCTAGAGAAACGAAAAGGGCCCTCCCCTACCCCAGCCGCCGTGGTGCACCCCGGACCCTCGCTCCTCTCCGTCTGGCGCGCTGCTGGGGGCGGGGCCAAAAGCGCGTACGCGGATTGGCCGGGAGAAAGAGGTCGAAGCCCCATTTGAAAAGCCCAATCAGCACACGGCCTCTCCGCGCCAGCCAATAGGAAGCCAAGAGGCAGGCAGGAAAGGCGGAGTCGCGTGTGTGAGCCGGCGACGCGCGCAGAGCACTGGCGGTGGAATTCTGCGCGGGCTGGTTGTTGTGTCTGCTGCGCGCTATGGCTGGTAAGGTCCTGGAAAAGGACGAGCTGCTGCGGAAGCTCAGGAACAACCGCCGCCGCTTCCAGAGGCACATGCAGCAGCTGATAGCAAAGGTGCGCCCCCCTCGACAGCGGGAGGAGGGAGGGAAGGGCGAGGGGAAGGCCTAGGGGACAGGGTGGGATGGTAAGGGGGTCCCGAGTGCCGGGAGGGGCGAGGCAGATCTGAGGGCTCAGGAGGAGGGACTGGGGGCTCAGGTGCGGAGACCAGGCTTGAGAACTGACAGCCTCGCGCTGGCTGGCTCGTCCTCCGCCCGGGTCTGGAGCCTTTCGCGGCCCTCGGACCTGACGAGAAACCCTTCCTTCCGCACAGTACAACAGGCCCTTCGAGGACGACCCGCTGGTGCATATGGCCACGCTGACTTACGAAACGCCCCAGGGTAAGGAGTCATCCTCCCCTTCTGAGTATTCACTATTAAGAGTGGTAGAGAATAGTCTTTTAGAATTTGAAATGCCGTCACTGCTCTTATCAAGTAAACTTTGTTCACCTAATAGAGAACAAAACATGACTTGTTCCCTTGAACTCGCTAATTGTTTCCATCAGAATTACTTATTAACACAATTTCTGAAAAGATTTAGATGTTTCCTAGTTTAAAAAAAGCCTGTCTGGCTGAATTGGCATGCCTGCTGGCCACTTACCAGCCATGTCTGTTTGGCCAGTTGCTTAGCTGTACTGTGTTTCAGTGTCTTCATCTAAGATGGGAAGGGTGATGACAATAATGTCTGCTGGGTGTGGGTGTTGTAGCAGTTACTTAGAATCCTTGTGAAGCTTTGGAAATAGTCCAGCACTAGTAAACCCTCATGTTGACTTTTTGTTTGGAGTAGTAACTGTCGTCCTTGAGGTTCTGAGTACTTACTTGATTAGGGAGAAGCAGTTCTGTTTAATGGTTAATGTTCTAACTGACTGAAATTTCATTATTCTCTTTGGTAAAGAGCTGGAGAAAGTTTGTGCTAGGTGAGGCCAGTTCTTCCCTTACAGCCTTATCACTTACTATAAGGCAAATCTTAGATCAGATTCTTCATTGCATTAAACGTACAGGCACAAAAGGTTTGCAATATCTGATTCTTGAATTAAATGAAATCTTAGTTCCCTGCCTTTTTAGCTGATTCAGGCATATCTTGTGTGAAAAATTTACACAGGTAGAAGCTAAAATATTCTAGTAACAGATCTATGTTACCCTCTGGTTTATATCAGGCCACAAGGGCAGTACACAAGGCTGGGAATCATTCCTAAGAGTGAGGTCAGCCGGCTTCACTGTGTTCTTATGGGCTATTCGTGCAAGGATGGGCAGTGCTAAAATGTTTTGGACACTCTAAATTTCTTGAATACTACTAATTTCACCAGTGGAATCTCATTCTCAACTCTGGTTTGATGAGAACAATAGTGGAAGTACTGAAACACCTCAGGAGTTTGTAGAAGACCACCTGGAGAGCTTGCTGAAGCACATTTTCTTTCAGATGCTAATACCGATGCTGGATGCTGATTTCAGTAGGTCTGTGTTTCTAACTAGCTCATAGCTGATGTTAATGGCACAGGTCCCCCGTCCTGTTGCTGACCCTGGAGAGGTACTCAATTAGTGGTGTGACCGTTCATTAAATGCTAGCTGCCCCTCCTTCAAGTGTGAATTCCCAATTTAAGACAACACTTAATTAGATTGGTAGATTGGAATTAAAACTACTATACTGATGAAGACATCAGGGAAGTAATAGCCCTTCATATGTATTGACAGCTTACCTTATACCCTATACTCCTAAGATTTTCATATTTTTGATTCTTAGCAACCCTTCAAATGGTGGACACTGTTCTTAGAATCACTAATGTTTAATGGTGGGTACAGCACAACGAGGTTAAGTAACTTGTCCATGTCACTTAACCAAAGTGGCATAGCCTTGATTTGATCTTGAGCCTATGTCCTCATGCATCACTCTATTTTGAAAGTTCATATGACACAGTGGTTAAGAGCACAGAGCCCACACTCCCCAGAGTTTACATTCTGGCTCCATAATGGGTGGGGTGGGGGACCTTGGGATAGTTTGAATTATCCTTGCCTGTATAATGAACATAGTAAGTCTCTGTTCCATAGGGTATTAGAGATACTATGCAAGTATCTCTAAAACATGTAAGTGGATTGTTGTGAATACTGAATGAGGTATACTTGGAAAGGGCTTAGAATAGAAACTGGAGCATAGTAAGTACCACATAAATTTTTGCTGCTATTATTATCCTTAACCATTGTAAGCTTTGCCACCCAACGACACCTTCTTAGCCTGAATTTACCAGGGAAGTTTAGGGAGAGATCAAGTGTATTGCTCAGGTTCTGCAAGCTAGTAAGTGGCAGGACTAGCTGTATTTGAACTCCAGAATTCAGTGTAGACCCCTGGGCTTGAGTTTGCTCTATGTGTATAATATGTAGATTGCACTTAGAAATCATTTACTCTTATGTTTGAGGTGTAGAGATTGCCCTTGAAAAATGCTTACTGTATATATGTAGTATATAGATTGCCCTCAATATACATTTTTTTCTTTTATTTTGAAGATGTGGGGCACAATTCAGGAGTAAGTATATAAGTGGTCATCATACAGGTAAAGTTTGGGTCTCCCTTTGGTTCTCACTTTGCCTGGTTTGAGATCAAGTACCCTTATAGATGTTGTGATTCCCCCCCATGATACATATTTTAAATATTTTAAAGACAGTACCTGTCATATGAATGTTCCTTGTTTACATTTAACTTTTCAGATTAATGATGAAATTTGATGAGCCATTGTCTATAGGTAGGAGAGATTTCCATTAATGACAAATTTGTCTGATCTTGATTAAAAAAGAAATTTAACTTTACAAAAACAGGATATCAAAGAAACTTGGCTTGGTTTTAATAGTGTATCTGTTTTGTTTTGTTTTTTTTTTTCCTGTCACTTAGGCTTTCTTTTTGTAAACTTATTTTATTATAGAGATGTGGGATACAAGTGAGGATTATCTACATATAAGTAGGCTGCATGCAGGTGAAGTTTGGGTTTTCTAACTGGCCCTCACTCCCCCTGGTATAGACCCAGGTACCCTTTGTGTTGTTATGTGCCTACCCCTCCCACACCCCCCGCCAGCCCCTTCTCTTCCCTAGCAGTGCCCTGAGACTGTCTTTTCCTCCCTTGTGCTAACGTGATTAATGTTCAGGGCCCACTTATGAGTAAGTTTCTGTGATAGGTCACTTAATATGTTGGTCTCCAACTCCATCCAATTTGCTGTGAAGTCCATAATTTTGTTCTTTGTAGCTGTGTAATGCTCTCTCGGTATATGTACCACATATTCTTCCTCCAGTCCACTTTTGATGGGCAGTAGGGTTGGTTCCATGTTTTTGCTATTGTGAATAGTGCAGCGATAAATGTGTGTGCAGGTGTTTTTTTTTTCTTGTAGAATGATTTATGTTCCTCTGGCTATATTCCCAGGAACGGGATTGCAGGATCATATGAAAGGTCAATTTTTAGTTCTTTTAGACCTCACCACACGGCTTTCCATAGAGGTTGAACTAGTTTGCACTCCCACCAACAATGTAGAAGCATTCCTTTTTTCTCTGCATCCACACCAGCAACTGTTTTCGGACTTATTAATGATGGCCATCCTTACTGGAGTTAGGTGATATCTCATTGTAGTTTTGATTTGCACTGCTCTGATAATTAATGAGGCTGAGCATTTTTTCAAGTGTTTGTTGGCTGCTTATAGGTCTTCTTTTGAGAAATATCTGTTCATGTCTTTGCCCACTTTTAAATGGGGTTGTTTGGTTTTTTTCCTTTAACTTTGTTTGAGTTCCTTGTATATCCCGTATATTAGACTTTTGTCAGATACATAATTTGCTAATTTTTTTCCCATTCTATGGGTTGTCTCTTTTTCTCTTGATAATTTCTTTTGCTATGCAAAAAATTTTCAGTTTGATGAGGTCCCACTTGACTATCTTAACTTTTATGGCATTTGCTTTTGGGGACTTGGTCAAGAATTTGTTGCCTGCTCTGATGTGCATAAAGGTGTTTCCTGTGTTTTCTTCTAGGATTCTTATAGTTTGAGGTTTTATGTTTAGGTCTTTGAACCATTCTGAGTTGATTTTTGTATGTGGTCATGGGTAGTGTTCCAGTTTCATTCTTCAGCATGTGCTCAACCAGTTTCCCCAGTACTTTCTGCTAAATATGGTCTCTTTTCTCCAGTGATTGTTACTGGTGGCTTTGTCAAAGATGAATTGGTTGAGAGACTGAGTTTTTGCTTCCAGAATCTCCATCCTGTTCTATTGGTCTGTGTCCTATTCTTGCACCAAAGCCAGGCGGTTTTGGTTACTGTAGCCTTGTAGTAAAGTTTAAAGTCTGGACGTGTGATATCTCCCACTTTGTTCCTTTTGCTGAAGATTGTTTTGGCTATTCATGCTCTTTCTTGTTTCCATATGAATTTCTGTATTGTCATTTCCAGGTCTGAGAAAAATGTTGGCAATTTAACGTGTATTGCACTGAATCTGTAGATTTCCTTGGGTAGGATGGACAGCTTGACAATATTGATTCTTCTAATCCATGAGCATGAGATGTTTTTCCATTTGTGTCATCCTTGATTTCTTGGAACAGCATTCTGTAGTTCTCATGGTAAAGATCTTTCGCTTCTCTGGTTAAATGGATGCCAAAGTATTCTTTCTCTTTTTTTGTGACTATTGTGAATGGGATTGTGATTTTTATTTGGTTCTCTGCCTGCGTGTTGCTGGTATATAGAAATGCAACTATCTTTCACACTTTGATTTTGTACCCCCAAGACTTTTCCAAAGTCAATTATCAGTGCAAGGCGACTTTTGACAGATTTCCTAGGGTTTTCAAGATATAGAGTCATATTGTCCTCAAAGAGGGATAGCTTAACTTCTTCTTTTCCTATTTGGATAGTCCTGATTTCCCTTCTTTGCTGATTGTTCTAACCAGGACTTCCAGCACTATGTTGAACAGGAGGGGTGAGAGTGGGTATCCTTGTCTTGTTCCTGTTCTTAAGTGGAATACTTCCAACTTCTGCCTGTTGAGCAAGATGCTGATTGTGGGTTTATCATAGACAGCTCTTACTGTTTTGAGGAATGCTCCTTCTATGCCTATGTGCTCAAGAGTGTTTATCAAGAAGGAATGCTGGATTTTGTCTAATGCTTTCTCTAATCTAATATAATCTTGTGGTTTTTGGTTTTACATCTGTTAATGTGCTGAATTATGATTATGGTCTCTTGAATGTTAAAGCAGTTCTGCATCCCAGGAATGAAGCCCATCTAACCATGATGGGTGATCCTTGAGATGTGTTGTTGGATCTGATTTGCTAGAACCTTGTTTAGAATTTTTGCATCTATGTGCATCAAGGAGATTGGCCTGTAATTCTCTTTCCTTGTTGGGTCTTTCCCAGGTTTGGCTATCAGTATGAAGTTGGCTTCATAAAATTAGTTGGGGAGAATTCCATCATTCTTGATTGCCTGTAATACTTTTAATAAAACTGCTATCAGCTCCCCCTTATATGTCTTGTAGAATTCAGCTGGAAAGCCATCTAGTCTGAGGCTTTTTTTTTGGCGAGCAGATTTTTTTATGACTGAGTCGATTTCCTGGATTGTTATTGGTCCATTTAGAGTTTCAATTTCTTCTTGTTTCAGCCATGGAAGATAGTGCGATGTCAGAAAGTCCTCCATTTCCTTTAGATTTTCTAGTTTATTTGCATACAAGTTTTTATAGTAATCTCTGATAATCTTTTTAATTTCTTCAGGGTTAGTTGTGACTTTGCCTTTTGCATTTCTAATTCTGTTTATTTGGGCTTTCTCTCTCTCTCTCTTTTTAGTCAATCTGGCCAAGAGGTCTATCAACCTTATTTATCCTTTCAAAGAACCAGCTTTTTGTCTTGTCAATCCTTTCTATGATATTTTTATCTTCTATATCTTGCAGTTATGATCTGGATTCTTCTGCTGAATTTAGGATTTAGGTAATCTTGCCTTTCCAGCTCCTTAAGTGTGATGTTAGGCTGTCTACTGTTGATCTTTCTGTTTTCTTGATGTGTGTGTACAATGCTATTAATTTTCTTCTTAATAATGGCTTTCCTGGCATCCCAGAGATTCTGATATGTCTTTGTCTTCATTTGTTTCAGGAATCTCTTAATTTCTCTCTTGGTTTCAGTATTGACCCAGAAGACATTCAGCAGTATGTTGTTTAGTGTCCATGTCTTTGTGTGTTTGGGGGGATCTTGTTGCTGGCAATATTTTTATTCCACTGTGATCTGAGGAGATGAATGGTGTTATTTTGATCTTTTGAAATTTGTTCACACTTGATTTATGTCTGAGAATGTGAACAATCTTAGAGTATGTGCAGATGAGCAGAATGTATACTCAGATGTTGAGTGAAGTGTTCTGTGGATGTCTATTAAATTCATTTCATCAAGCATTGAATTGAGATTCTGGATCTTCTTGTTGGTTTTTTGCCTTGATGATCTATCTAAAGCTGTTAGTGGAGTATTTAAGTCTCCAACTATGATTGTGTGAGAGTCAGAGTCCTCTCTTAGATTACTTAGTAGTTATTTTTATAAAACCTGCTGCGCCTATGTTGGGTGCATATATGTTTAGGGTGGATATTTCTTGCTAGTGGATTGAGCCTTTTATCATTATGTAGTGTCCTTTGATGTCCTTTTTAACTTTTGATGATTTGAAGACTGCTTTTCTGATATGTTTTCCATTTGCCTGAAAGATCATTTTCCAGCCTCTGACTTTGAGCCTGTGGGTGTCCTTTACAGTGAGATGAATTTCCTGGAGGCAGCAGACTGCTGGATCATGTTTCTTTATCCAGTTTGCCACTCTGTCTCTTCAGTGGCGCATTTAGTCCATTCGCGTTCAAATTGGTTATTGAAATGTGAGAGTTTATCCCTGTCATAGGGCTCTAAGAGGGGTTGCTTTGTTTCCTTTTTATTTTTGAATTTATATATGTATGTATTTTCAGTGCTCTGTATACTCTGTTAACTCTGCTTGCCTGTACTTTTTTGATGGATATTATCTTAAACATCTCCTGAAGACTGGTCTGGAGGTGGCATATTCTCTTAGAGATTAGATGTCTGGGAACGATTTTAGTTCTCCATCACTGAAGCTTAGCTTGGCAGGGTAGGAAATTCTTGACTGGAATTGCTTATCTTTAGGAACATTAAAAATTGGACTGCAGTCTCTCCTAGCTTATAGTGTTTCTGCAGATAAGTTTGGAGCAATTCTGATGGATCTTCTCCAGTAGGTAGTCCAACCTTTCTCTCACTGCCTTTAGGATTTTGCTTTCATATTTTGTGGAGGTGGATTACTATGTGCCTTGGGGATGATCTTCTCATATGATACCTTGTAAAGGTTCTCTGAATCTCTTGTGCTTGAATGGTCACCTCTCTGGTGAGATGTGGGAAATTTTCTTGAATGACCTCATGGAATGCTTGTTCCATGGGTTTTCCGTTTCCCCTTCTACTTCAGGGATACCAATCAGGTATAGATTTGGCTTCTTGATATAGTCTCAGAGCTCTCAGAGGCTTTGTACCTTCTTTTTTTGCCTTTTTTCCCATGTTTTTGACAGACTGAGTTAGTTCCATATTTTGGTCTTCAAGTTCTGAAATTATTTTCTCTGCCTGGTTGACCTTGCTTCCTATGCTTGCTACAGTGTTCTTAATTTTCAGGATGAATTTTTTTATTTCCATTATTTCAGAGTGGGCTTTTTTGAAATTGGCCAACTCCACTTTTACTTCCTGTATGACTTCGTTAATTTCACCTATTAATTTTTGCTATTCAATCTCTGTTTCTGTAGCTGTCATCTGGGGTGGGTTGTTCTGGGGTGAGGGGAGATTTCCATTGTGCACTGCTAGCTGCTTTTTTGGGGCTTTAGGACTCTGTTGATTTTTTTCTTTCTTGTTGGTGATAGGCCTCTCTTCACTCTCTATACTTCAGTTCTTTGGATTCGATGCTCTGAAGTTACTCAATTACTCTGTTCTGGGATCCCTTCAATAGGTAGTTCAATACATGTCACTCAGTGAGACTGGGAGAGGCATTCATATCTGCTCCTTGTTCCACCTTGTGGCCATTTTCTGTCACTGCAGAATTTCTCTCTCACTGCTAATCTAATCCGACCAGACCAGCTTTCGGCCTCCACTGGGACGGTGGGGAGGAGGATAGGTCTCCTGTCTGCAGCAGAGGAAACGGCCACCAGCTGCTGGCAGTGCACATCAGTCTGGTTCACTCTGCAGGCAGGCCCTCCCTGCCAGTGCACTACCCGCCCAGTGTGAAGTCATGGCTGACCCAGCGTGGGTCTTTCTCCCATTCTGTTTGGGCTGAAGTTGCTGCCACTGCACCCTGCCCAGGACACCTCCCATGTGGAGACCAATGATCCTCGCATGGCTGGGAGGGGGTGAACTGTCCTAAAGTATCTTTGGCTCATACTCATAGTGAGTACTTTCATCTGCTGGGCAGTTCTTGTATGAGCCTGGCACACTGTTGGGGATGGGTACCCTAATTCCCATGACCTCATGGCTTTCTGGTCTCTATGTGTTCAAAGAGGCCTTTGCTGGCTGCAAAAACACCCATCCAAAAGTGTTTGTGGTGACTCCGTTTATGGGTGGCTGGGTCCCTACTCTCTGCCTTGCCCAGCAAGAGAGGTACCAGTCTGCTGCTCCACAGTGGCCATCTTGGATCTCTTCTCTACTTTGGCTTCCTGAGAACACAGATTAAGCAGAAGTTGTGCTTTCAGGATTACTTAAATGGTAATTTTTGTTTCTTTTCTTAAGGATTGAGAATTTGGGGTGGAAGACTAATAAAAGAAAGAAACAAAGGACAAATCCAGGTATTTAATGTCAAATTTTATTGCCAAAATGCCTTGTTGTAGAGGAGTACTGATGTGAATAAAGGTGTGGGTGAGCCCTGACTATGACTGAGTTTATGGGGAGGCCATTGCAAGACACTTTGCTTTCTTACCTTAACCATACTTTTTTCCTGTTTTTAAGGATTTACTGAGAAGTGTTTCTTCTGTTGCTTGTCCAGTACAGGGAGGAGCTCTGTAATGTTTGACCTTTTTTGTCATCCTGTATCTCCTCCATCATAGGATTGGGGTCTTTGATGACTGAGACATGCATGGAGAGGCTGGGCCAGCTGGATAACCCTCCCCAGCCACGCTACAGTCTAGTGAGGAGCTTGCCTTGTTGGATCCTTACAGAAAGGCCCAAATCCAATTCTTTCTGAGGAAGAGAAATGAGGGGGAGGGTTCAGTGTGTGTAAGATCACACTTCTTTCTTTCTGCATTTCTCTGCCTTTTAAAAGACCCAGGTTTTTCCTCCTAATTGATCCAAGGGTGTTGCAGCTATGAGATCCGTTATTTTAATGGAAGGCGCTGATAAAGTTTGCCCTCCTACTGGGAGACCTGGGAGCATTTTGCCAAGTAGCTTTTGTAAGGTTGTCTAGTAGTATATCAATCACTGCTTTTCATGGTCACGAGTCAATTAACCTGTATCCAAGAATGAAAATATCAAGGTAAAGGTGACACAGCAAATTTGAAATTAAATCTTCCTTGTTTTGTTATTTGTTAGAAATACATAGAACTGCACAAAATTAGCCTGACTTCTATAGAAAGATACTCACTAATGCTATTTTAGTATAGTGTGATTTGTTTATAATGCACATCTTTTTAAGTATACATTTTTTCACCCTCACATTTCCAGCTAATACATATGGAGAACCCTTCTCTTCATCCATTTGTATAATTCAAGCACAATATTTTTAAACTTCTCTCCTGTTGATTGGCATTTACCCTATTTGTGCCTTCCTTTATTATAAATCAGGGTCAGTACACTTTTTCCATAAGTAGCCAGACAGTAAATATTTTAGACTTTACTGGCTATGTGGTCTCTGTCAGCAATCTCAGCACTGTGTTGTATGGGGAAAGCAGCCATAGATAATATGTAATTGAGAATGCATGGGGGAAAAAAGAGAGAATGCATGGCTGTGTTCCAGTAAAACTTTATTTATAAAACTCTTGTTGTAAATAGTTGCCAGAGAAACATTCTGATCCGTATTTCTACCCAGTATGGATATCTATCCTTTTCAGTAAACAAGAAGTGGGATTAAAAGTTTTTGCTTAAGATGTAGGAGGACCCCTGCCAGGGGTCTACAGGACTTTCAGACTCTTGGGATTAGAAAACTAAGTGTAGTCTGTGCTTACTGCTTGAACATCTACAACCTCACTGAAATTATCATTAGTGATTGCTCAAATCTGCCTTCACCTTTTCCCAAACAACCCAGTGCTTGTGCTGCCCTGTAGGCTGTGGAAGGCAGTTAACTGTGGCAGGCTGTGCATTGGCCTAGGCCAGTTTGGCCATAAACAAGGCTTGGGTTCTCTTTGTAGATAGCAGAGTTGCCATATAGTAAGGGGTTGGTGTGGATTGGTTGCTTCCCCATACCCACAGACACAGCCACAGAAAAGCTCTATAAACTCCAGGAAGTCCTACCTCGTGTGATGGGGCTCATATCCCCCAAATCCTTAGAGATGACTGTTGAAGAGCATCCCTAAAGGTGTAGGCCTCACCATCTTCTCTGGCTTCCTGTTTTTACAAGACTGAGCAGTTCTTAAAATATTTTAGCCAATTCAGTATCTTGATTGCTCAAATTTCACTAATGATGCCCATTGATGCCATTTACTAGGATTATTAGTGGGACCTCATATAGAGAAGTCTCTACAGCGCCAAAACAGGCCTCCCCAAGATTGTGACCTGCTAAGCACCCAGGAGTATGTGGACAATTAGCTGTCCTTCTTAGGCTTAAACTGGCTTCACACACAAAGGAAATGCAGACCTTGGACCTCCATAAACACTACACATTGTTAAGATAAAGATCACAAGAAGTCCCCCAGGGCCCTCTTGACTATTTTTGTGTCCTCCCCATGACCTAGTGACCATTTCATTCTGTTTCACTTTGATTTTTGTTTGCCCCAGTCCCTGTCCAGCCATACAATGGCCTGGGGTACAGTGTTACAAGGTAGGAACTCATCATCCTAGTGCCTCTGCTCCTGACTTCCCTTCTCCTTCCCTCACTTTCCAAATGACTTTTTAAATAGCAGCCCTGGTCACCACCTGAGAGAGAAAGCTGTGCTGCTTTTCCATGGGAAACCTTGACTACCTCCTAGGCATCTTGAGACCTCTTAGAAAGCAGATGTGCAGGGAGAAGAGAAGACTGCAAACCTTCTTGTTCTCTCCTATGTTAGTGGCAGGATTGCAGTTTTATCACTTTACATCAGCTTTGAAATGTGCTGTCATGCAAACGAGCATGTGTTTATTGACTTCTCACTTTGAGGCCTTCACTGTGGTGTCCGGGAACAGGATAGATGGCTCCATGCAAGCTACAGCCCAAGGTCATGAGCTTCCCTCACACTGCTCGCAAGTCCCAAAAGCCGGTGAGTGTTGCCTTTGTTCAAGTTCGGAAAGGACTGGGCCGGATATGTCTCTGTTCCAGCAGTTTAAAGTCTAAATTTCTTGTTATTGAAGCTCATATTTTTTTCTAAGGTATATTTTAAAAACTGATATCATCTTAAAGTCCCCTGTTAATTCTTTCTATACCCCCTGGAAGAGTGGGAGCCATGTCTTGCCCACAGTTACGTTCATAACACTTGACATATAAATGATACTCACCTATTTCTATAATAAGTAAACATGCCCTCATTTTAAAAACTCAGTATCAAGATTTAGTAAGACTTAAGAGTTGACTTTATGGAGTGCTGTTATGAATGCTCACTTCTATAGAAAATCATCTTGCCTCTGCAGTCATCCATTTTTCCCTCCTCCTCATTCTCCTGGGAGGTGCCTTTCCCTTCCTCACTGCCTAGACCTGATCCTGTCCCATGTCCTCAGGAATCCATTCATCACCCCTTCTTTCTGTCTTCTACCTCTCTACCCTGGATCCATCCCATCAGTGTATGTATAGACATACCCAGATTTTACACTAAACACATAAAACATACTTCATGCCTCTACCTGTCCCATGCCCCTCTCTTGCCACCTCCCTTTGTTCAGTCCCCTTTACAGCCAAACTCACATTTGCTGCCTCAGATTTCCTCACCTTCTGTACATGCCTCACCTGGTTCCATTAGGCCTTCAGGCCCTATTGCTAAAGCCCACCTCTGGGTGAGGTTCCTGGCAACTCCGTTGTAGAATCTAAATGGCATTCTTGGGGTTTGTCCTCAAAACCCTTGATAGCATTTGAAACTTCCGGAAATTCTAGTCTTGGCCTCTGTGGTCCTCTGTGCTCTTCGGGTTTTCCTACTTCCTCTCTTCTTCCTTTCCATCATTACCGGCCCTACCAGATACCCTTTCTGGAGAGCTGGTCTGAGCTCTTCTTTGTCCCTCACTCTGGTGGATCCTTGGCTTCATATGCTGATGGTTACCACCTCCAGCCCAGACTGCTGTGTGAGTTTCACTGCCTAGTGGCCTCTTCACTTAAACACTTCATGTCCAAACTCAGCGTATCTGATCTAAAGGAGGCAACCCCGCAGACTTGCTCTTCAGCTTCTGTTCTGCACCTCAGCACAGGTCTCCCCCACCATTTTCCCTCTCTTGTGAGCCAAAAGTCAGGGTCCTCTTTGTCTCAGACACTGCCTCATTCCTCACATCCAAGACATCACTGTCTTATACCTTATGCCTCCTACTATCTCTCATGTCCCCCCTCTACACCCCTCGACCCCCACAGCACCAGCTCTCATCTCCACCTGGGCCCGTTCCACCCCACTGACACAACTGTGAATCTGGCCTCGTTCTTTCTCTGTTTCATGCACTATGTAGCTTTTCATTGCTCTTGGGCTAAAAGACAAGACTCCAAAATAGGGCCTAAAGGCTTGCCTGACCTGCCATGCTATCTCCTCACTGCCTCTTGGAAGCCTCTGTGATCCCCAGGTCAGAACAGACCCCTCTTTTATAAGCTTTTTGTACCTGGGTTATCTTCTTGTGTCCATTGAACAGTTTTGTCATTGGCCCTTAGACACCGGTCTCTCCTTTTGGACATTGGCTTTTCTGCAGCCTCCACCCACTGCCCAGCCCCTTCCCTCAGCCCTTGCTTACACCCGACAGTCGGTAATGGGTGTGGAGTCACTAAAAGGAAACCGGCGGTCTTTCATTGTAGAATTAGAAAGAAGACCTTGATGAGAATATTTACTCATTGATGTTATATATTTACTGATAATAATTCAGATTTTAACTGTAACTCCTTAGGTCCATAAATTTCCAAGACTGTTTGAAATCATTGGAAATGATTCAAGAGCTGTACTGTCCAGTATGATATCCACTAGTCCCTGTGGTAATCTAAATTAATTGAAAAATAAAATATAAATTTCGTTCCTCAGCCTTACTGGCCACATTTCAACTGTTCCCATGTGGCTGATGGCTGACTTAGGACAGCAGGAAGAGAACTTTCCATCGTAAAAGTTCTATGACCGTGCTGGACTAGGGTATCTCAACTTCTAGAATTGGTCATTGAAGCTAAAGATAGTATAAAATCTGCTTTTCTTCATTCCGCTCCCTGGGGCATATTCCCTTTCTGTGAAGTTCTCTGGATTTCTAGTAGTCATGAGTAGCAATAGATGACTGTGTCCTTATTCAAGGGGAGTACCCTTGAAGCAACAGGAATTTTTACTGTAGAACATACTCAAAGTGATAAACATCCTTGAGAGGAGATACAAGCTTTCCTAAAATCCTGACTTTTTTTTTTTTTAACTTTTAGATTCAGAAAACAGTGATAGTGATACAACTTTAAACCAGGAAGATCCTGTTGCTTGGACCTTAACCGTAAGCACTGTGTTTGGTAATGAAAGGACAGACTGGGGCAGGATGGTTCAAGTATATATTCTCTCAGTTCTCAAAACCTGTGCAGCCTGGGGTGGGCAGCGTTGCCTGAACTTTGTGGAAGTCCTCTCCTGAGGCTTACTTTTGTTACTATCAAGCAGAAAATCTCTGACTTCTCACTTTCAGATCCCCTAAGACGGTAAGTCCCTCCTGCTCAATCTAGCCCTTGGTGGCCAGCTCTACCCCTAGTTCAAACCTGATTTATGGTGATTTTTTCCACTCTGCAGATAGAGCAGTCACAGCTGTGGTTCACAGAGCTCCATTTGCCTTGATGAGCACAAAATGTTGAAAGTTGGGCTCTAAGCCAATCTTGCCCCACAGGACAGTGTCTTAAGGGGGGAGGTGTTCTAGGAAGTGTTTCCAGGCCTGCTTTTGAAAGCCCCATTAGTCACAAGATCACATAATTGGACAGCTGTCACTCACCTCAACAATAGGTGTGGTTTATGTGTCTGATTCCTAGAGTGTCCTGGTGGTCACAGAAGCCACCTGTTTCCTTACACAATGTGCTGCTCACCTTCCCTCAGTTGGGATAGATGAGAATTAACCCACTCAAGCATCTTTTTTGGCTCCTATGCTATCACCTGCTAGAATAGCTGGTGCATGATTTTCCTTTTCTAAAATTGTTCCTTTTGTGCAGAGGGTTACCCATACACCCATGTGACTTTTAGTGACTAAGTAGAAAGAGGCTAATCCCTAATCCCTGGCTGTGTGTTTGTGTTACTCCCACCTGCATCCTTTTTTTTTTTTAAGAAAATAAAGTTTATTTCTAAAGTAAATTGCAGGATAGGGGGGAGATTCACCTTCCCAAGGCAGGAAAGGGGACCGAAGTCAGGAAACATGGCAATGGCCATAGCTCCAAGAGCACATGACCATACCAGAGTCTAGTAAGGCAATGGCCCCATCTGCATTCCTGATCCCTGATGCAGCTCCATTCTGTGCCCACTCAGCAGAGAATGGAGGGTGAAACACTTATTTTCCAATGTCTGGCAGGTAAAGGGAAGGAGACTCGATCAGTTCCAGCCTCCTGAGTTCTAACACTGAATTTTTTTTTTTTTTTTTTTGATTCAGAGTCTCCCTCTCACCCAGGCTGGAGTGCAGTAGCATGCTCCCAGCCACTGCAGTCTTGACCTGCTGGACTCAAGTGATCCTTCCACCTTAGCCTTCCAAGTAGCTGGAACTACAGGTGTATGCTACCAAACCTGGCTAATTTTTTTATTTATTGTAGAGATGAGGTCTTGCTATGTTGCCCAGGCTGGTCTTGAACCCGTGAGTTCAGGCAGTCCTCTCACCTGGGCCTCCCAAAGTTCTGTGTGAGCCACCACACCCAGCCTGAATTTCTTATCAGCTTACCAGTTGGAGGTTATTGCCAATAGTTGAGTACTGAATTCACCTAAGAATATTTAGATTGTTTAAAGTTTTTTGTTGTTGTTGTTCTAATAATGCTGTCATGTACTTCTCCAGATTTTTATTATTATTCTTTACTTTCTTTTGAATTGTTAACACCTAGTAAATTCCCTAAAGCCAGATTACTAGGGCAGTGGATTTCCAGAGAGGCTGGGCACTGTGTTCTGCTAACAGCAGGAGGTAGAAAAGTGACTTTGAGTAACTTCATTTAAAGATTTGTGCATTAATAAGTTTGAAAGCTTGTTCCAGAACTCAAGTGGTAAACTGTACCCAAAAGCTCTTAAGAATTCTGACTTCTCTTTTTTGTTCAGCCTGCAGTGCCTCAAAGCCCTTTGAAAAATGAGTTAAGACGGAAATACTTGACCCAAGTGGATATACTGCTACAAGATCCAGGGTATTTTGAGGTAATCTATTTCCCAGTGTTTCTTTTCAGATAATTAAATCATAAAGACACACTGAGGTATAATGTCATCTTTTTTGTGTACTCTTTGCAAGACCTGCAAAGAGCATTTTGAGTAATTATTTCCAAACTGTTTTATTCACATGCTGACAGACCTTTGCTCTTCTTGAATAAGAATTCCAGGTCCCTAGGGCAGCGCCATCAGGGAAACTCATGGAGGCAGGAAAAAGGGGCATCCTCTAGTACCCACTGTTTTGGGGCAGCTCACAGAAATATAGTAGAGCCATGTGTGGGACTCTCCAAGGGCAGCCTTGGCCCATGGACAGAGGGATTTGAAGCTGAATAATTAAGGAAGCATAGCCCCCTCCTTCCCTGGTGTGACTGCGACTGAAATCAGCAGCAAAGTGAGACAGCTGACCCTTGGCGCCAGCCTATCCCATCTGCCCAAAAGTTGTGTTAGTTGGGGCATGATGGGGGCTGCAGCGAAACCTTGTGGTGGTATTGTGGATGGCAGGTGAGAAGGTGCAGCCCCTCTCCCAGGGTTGACACCCTCTGTTTCTCCCCAACCACCCTGAAGCTTTGCCCAAAAAAGAACAAAAAAACTAAAAATGACTTCACATAAAGATGTCAGCTCTTTAATTTTCCAAGTTCTATCACTATCTTCCATAAATTAAAAGGACATTTTAATACCAAACTAGGAAGTACACATTGCAGAATAAAGAACAACATCTCCAAAAAAAGCAATCTTACGGGGGTTTATATACTTTCTTATTGTGCTGCTGACCAGTGGAAAGCCTGTATTTGAGGACCACTGAAGTAGTGAGTGTACTAGAAATGCCTTTTCTTCCTTTACCCTAAAGCAACAAGTGGTGTTGCTGTGTTGATCAGAGGAAGAAATTGGAGCTAAAAACAGTTCTGTTAGGTCTTCTTTGCCCACCATTCACCTGGCCCTTAGGTGTTCTTGCTGTCTGACTATAATGATAAATGAAGAAAAGCTACCAACCCTCCTGGGGAAGCAAGTTATAGGCAGACAAGTGGTGACGGTGACTGAAGGGCATCCTGGAGGCCACACAGACAGTGTTCAGATCTTACTAGAACATCTCTTCCCACCACTGCTCGAAGCCCAGCCAGCCCCATCATTGTGGTCATATGTTTGTCAGTGCTGCCATGCTAGTATGCAGTCTGTTGAAAAAGGAGCAGTTCCTTAACATCATCCGTGCAGAGAGGGAGGCATCACATTTTCTGGGGAGAACCCAGCTCCATGTACCTTGGGTCTCAGTAGCTGACAACTTTTTGGTTGTAATCACTGGCTCTGGTTTCAGCGTGTAGATAACACAGCTGGAAAAGATGCATGCATGACCCTGTTCCCTTCACTGGCCTCGCCTACCACATCTGCCCCTGGTAAGTATGACGCGGAAACTGTGAATTGTGCATGTCTCCTTTACCTTTGTTGGAGCTCGTGGCCCCTCAGCTCAGTACTACTCATACTGGGTACACCATTGTTTGCCAGCATGTTTCATCAGCAAAAACGGTTAAAGACTCTTATGTTTTATAGGAAAATTAAATTTTACAATTTTGCTCATTAGCCCAGCTTATGAGTTTGAAAAATTTTGAATTTCCAGAAGCATATGACTTCCTTCCCATTTGTGTCCTTTTTTGTTTGTCTGACCAGTTTAGGACTCACTCAGATACCTCCGTGGCATTTAGTTGTCTCCTTCAGTCCAGAATAGCTTCTTAGTCTTTTTTATTGTCCTCTTCATCATCTTTTTTGTTTTTTGACGTTAGTTTCTTTAATGCACTTTGTGTGTTGTCGTATCCCTCCCCTCACTCATCGTTTTTCTTGTTGCCTTCCTTGAATAGTCCAAGCCAGTCATTTTGCACAATATTCCTTGATTTGGTCCTGTCTGATTGTTTCCTCATGGTTAGGTTCATGTTAAACATCTTTGACAAAAACACTACGTGGATTACATGTTCTCTAGAGACGTCTGGTCAGTGTGTCCCTTTTACGTTTGTTTGATTGTAACAATCTCACTGCAAAAGGGCCTTTTTTTTTTTGCATTTTTAGAATCAGCAAGAACTTGTGCACTTTTTTAAAAATTCACATGTTATAAACCATTGCCAGCATTCAATGTTGCTTAAGTAGTCACAAATTTAGCCTGTGGTAGTCCCTACAGGCTGACTTTTGTGTCCCTTGATGTTTCCTCACCCATTTGAGAACACTTCTTAGCCCCCTGCCTTGATTCTTTTCTTGCCTCTCCCCTCTCCTGTCACCAGCCCCAATAATGGATGCTTCTCTTGTCAGTGCACAACACAAGTTAACTTCAGGATTGCAGCAGTCTTTCTCTTCCAGTTACTAATTTTGTGTTTTTCTGTTTGTATTTAATTTTAGGGTTTTTCCCCATCCTTTTTTATTTATATAGTTTTATTTTGTTAAATACATGAAACATTTAACATGATGGAAAAATCAAAGCTGCATGGAGAGGTGTATCTAAGAGTCTTACTCCCTTCCTATCCCTGTAGGTAAACAGTGCCATCATTTTCTGGTTTCCTGCTACCTTTTGAAAAGGTGTTCATCTTCTAAACAAGAAGAGTCTATTTGTAAATATTTGTGGAGCTTGTGTTTTTGATATTGCTTTAAAAAACATGATCATGATCCACACTCAAATTTCATGATCTGTGCAAATGAGTGGGTGTGTTTTGTGTTTTTTGTTTGGGGGGGGTCTCCGTTGCTGGGGCTAGAGTGCAGTGGCAGGCACAGTCATGGCTCACCACAGCCTCCACCTCCTGGGCTCAAGCAATCCTTCTGCCTCAACCTCCCAAGTAGCTGGGACTACAGGTGCACGCCACCACACCCAGCTAATTTTTTTATTTTTTCTAGAGACAAGGTCTCACTATGTCTCGAACTCCTAGGCTCTTGCTTTAGCCTCCCCAAGTGCTGGGATTACCGGCATGACCCAGCTCACTCAGCCAATTGAGCGATTTTGAATGGTAGCACCCCTCTAATTTATATGTGTGTGTGTGTGTGTTTCTCCCAGGATCCTGTGGTAGTGTCTCCGGAAAGAGTCCTGGTGACCCAGCAAAACCAACTTCATCTCCCAGAGAACGGGATCCTTCGTGTCCTTCCTCAATAGACATGGCCATAGTACCTAGAAATGACAGTCTCTTATTACCAGGGATCAGTAGTAGCAGTTTGTTAAGCAGTGAGTCCTTTGAAGATGATGACATTTGCAATGTGACCATTAGCGACTTGTACTCAGGCATGCTACATTCCATGAGCCGGCTGTTAAGCGCGAAGCCATCAAGTATAATCTCCACCAAAATATCCATCTTGCAAAACTGGAACTCCAGGAGGAGGCACAGATGTAGGAGCAGGATGAACAACACATATTGCAAGAGAGGCAGACATTATCAGAGGAGCTCCAAGGAGAGAATTTTACCCTGCTCTGAGCCTGTAAAAGACATAAGAGCATTAAGAGATTACAAGAACTTACTAGATGTTTCTTGCCATAAGACAAGTTTAAAATTGGAAAATGTTTTTCCTGAAGTAAACAAACCACAAATCCATAAGTTAGATCCAAGTTGGAAGGAGCTTAAAGTGATGCCGCAGAAGTATTCTTCATCGACTTATTTCAGCCCCAGTGTAATGCATAATCTTGATCAGGAAAATAGACTTATGATGTTAAAATGGTTGATTTCTCCTGTAAAAATAGGCTCCAGACCAAGAATACTGCAGGGCCCTGGAGAGAATCGTCAGAGGGAGATTGAAATCAGATTTGACAAACTTCATCAGAAATATTGCCTGAGTCCCAGGAACCACTCTCACCTGGCTGGTCCCCCAGACTCCAGGGCTCTGGATGTGTACAGAGGGGGTCCTGGTGTCCCTCTGAGCTTAGAACGCCACAGGCTGAGTTTACCTTTGCGCAGAGGAAAAGCAAAGAGGTTAAGTGAGGTTTTTGAAAACCTGGGCAGTAGGTCTGTGAGTAAATGCCTGCCAAAGAGTGATTCCTTTTTGTCAGTTTCAGAGGCAGACCCCACACAAAACCCAGATCACTCTCAGTGGACATCTGGCCTTCATTTTCAAGAAAACAATTCTAGAGTATTCAGAAAGTCAGTATCACCCAGCAAAACTATTTCAGTACCAAGGATAGGACCTCTAGTCTGTGGAAGGAATCATTATGATGAAATTAAAGAAAAATTTGACAAGCTTCATCAAAAGTATTACCCCAGATTGCCTCAGCAGACAAAGGCACCTGTATGTATTGAAGTGTCTCCAGATGCAGCAAGTGTAGAAGTTCAGGATCAAACAGAAGTCTCCTTAGGAAAATTAAATCCTGATTCTCACTTCCAGAACTGCCAAAAGTTATCACCACCCCTGGAGTACATAAAAAGTCCACTAGGCTCACCTGCAATTGAGGCTCATTCATCTAGGTGTGTTGCTTGTGCTACCAGAAGGGACCATCAGTACCCTGCAAAAAGACGCAGGCTGTCAGACCCCCAGGGGTGTGGATACCTGGCAAATTCCCAAGATGCCTCAAGTGGGGTGGACAGAGCCATCCTCAGACCTGGAGAACAGGGCAGTTCTTCACAACCCAACTCAGAAGAGAAGAAGGTGTGTTTGTTTGTTGAATGTGAGGATTTATGTGAGTGACTGCTCTGTGGGCAGAGGCTTTTTGTGATGAGAACCTTTGTGCCACTTTTGATGAATCTCAGACTTCTTACATGTTAATTTTGCAAACATTCTACCACACTCTTCCTTCCTCTAAAATCAGCATTTGTATTGAGAACATGTTCTGGTATAAGATGCATCAAGGTAGAACAGAAAATGTTCTTGTAGGAAAAACTTGACACATGTTCCATTGAACTGCATCAGGGGTTTTCTAGAAGCCCTCCCTTATACTCTATCCATCTTTGTCAAACTGTGTCACTTCCAGTCTCTTCATCTTATGCTCAGAAAGTAGCTGTGGTAAGGCTAAACTGATCTGAAAATAATGACTTTCTGTCTACTGGATTCCTGGTAGGGACAGAGCAGGGGTGGGCCCTGGAAGAGCCAAGAACATAGCCTCACAGGCATGGGGGTAGGGAGGCGAGGCCACCTCTGTACCTCACTTCTGCTCTGCAGATAATCTCAGTGCTCTCAGCATGAAAATCTCCCTGTGCCTTGTTCTGCAGTTTAGCTGATGCAAATCACATCAGCTAAAGTTTTAGGCCCTTTTAATTTCTACAAAGACAAGATGGAGAGAATGTAGGGTGGGATGGGGCAGTGTGAGCTGTTACCTCTGCTGTGTTAAGTGCCAGATTCCCCAGCACAACCCCTCTGTGTCCACAGCCAAGATTCAGAGGAGGATGCTCTTTTAACTGAGTACAGTCACTTACCCTCTGGCTGACAGAGCTTGACTGTGAATTTGATTTGGCCAGGTCCCTTTGGATTTTTTTTTTATGTGTTCGTGGCTTGGGCAGATGAGGCAGTGACTCCAGCTTCCTATTCCTCTTACCCCACCAAGGTGACAGACCTCTCCTCAGAGTTTGCTTGGGTAGAACCTGTCTGCCATAAACAGGCCATTTTCTGTTTTTCCCATGTGGATCTGCTTGGCCTGCGATCCCTCATCTGATGGCTCCTGCCATTCATCCAGCTCAGAATCAGGGTCTAGTCTTTCTTGTTCCTTCCACTGTGCCTAGCTGAACAGGTGGAGCAGCCCCCACCCCGGGTCACTGTGTAGACAGGGTCCTCTGGATCTCTTTCTCTGACTACATAGCTACCACAAAATTCTTCCCTTTGGTCTTGGTCCCAAGCTCCTTGCATATCCCCCCCGCCACTTCTGCACCCACGTGGCTTTTTCACACCAAACCACCACCAGCAGGCTGACTTTCAGCTACAGTTCAGTGAGTCATGTGAGGGGGAGGCCTTCAAGAGTGTCAGCAACATCTTCATGGCAGACACTTCGTGGAGGTGGTTTTAAGAGGAAGCTCATGTGTTCTACTGAACCGATCACCTGTCAGGATAACCTAATTTCTCAGGTGAAAGGGGGCATTTCACCCAAAACCATGCCCCAGCCCAGAAAGCCATCCCTGAAGCTTCTCCTATTCTGCTTGTCTAAACCTAAACTTTTTCTCAAGTATACCCCTATCTGTTCCTCTTACTGTCACCCTGCCACCAGGATTCTCTTATTCTCTTGTGCCTTTTTCCACCTGCTTTCTTCTTTTTTTTGAGTTGGAGTCTCAGTCTGTCACCCAGGCTGGAGTGCAGTGGCACACTCACGGCCACCCCAGCATCAACCTGCTGGGCTCCAGCGATCCTTTCACATTTTCTTTTCTTTTTGGGAGTTGGAGTCTCACTCTGTCGCCCAGACTGGAGTGCAGTGGCCGCTCCCAGCCACCGCAGCCTTGACCTGCTGGGCTCCGGCGATCTTCCACCTCAGCCTTCCAAGTAGCTGGAAGGCGTGCGCTAATTTTTTGATTTATTGTAGAGATGAGGTCTCGCCAAGTTGCCCAGGCGGGTCTTAAACCCCCCGGGCTCAGGCAGAGCCACTGAGCCCGGCTCACATTTTCTTGATTGTTCACACCGCTCCAGCTGCCTGCTGACCCAGCTCTGTGGCCCCTAGAGTCCCATCTCCTGCCTTCCAAGCTTTGGCTCCTTCCTAACCCCTTGTGGAATCCTGCCTTTTTGTTGCCCAGTGCAGACTCCTTTCTCAACTTTTTACCTGCTCAACCTAAGTAGGGGGTTGTCAGCTTTAGAGAGAATGGTGTGAAGTTGTATGTCATGGGCATCATCACATCACCTGGGAGCAAAGGATCTGGCTTCGAACTCACCCTTGATGGCCCAATAGGGCCCTCTTTGCTTCTCTAGAGTTGGATAGCAAGTCATTGTAAACACTGCCAGATGCTATTCACAATTTCATTTAAACTGCAGTATAAACATGCTTAACCACTTACCAATATTTTCTTCTTTTCCTACTTAATGATAAATTTCTTGAGGAAATGAACCAAATCTTCATGAGCTGTGACTACATAAGAGGTTTTAAAGGCTGCCATCTGAGTGCTTTGTGTACCATGTGGAACTGTTTTTACGCCTTATCCTTAATCCCCATGAGAACTCCATGATTAGACAGATTCCATCAAATAACAAGCTCTGTCTCATTTTAAGTCTTCAACTCTTAAATTCACTCAGACAGTACTAACTGAGCCAAGATTTGAGAGCTTGTGGACTTACCAGCAGGTTGCTCTCCCTGCTTGGGGGGGTGTTACTGTTACTTTTTAAAACATTCCTTAGATTATTTATCTAACATGGTGACATTTTCTATAATAGACACAAATATATATATGCAATGGAATAAATAGGAAACTGTTAAGCTCTTGGTGGCTAGTGTTGGGAGTTCTAGTAGAATTTTACCGAAATCATTTCTCTGTCTTTTTGTTTTCTAGAGGAAAGAAGAATACATCTTTTATGATAGAAAAGAGATTTTATGCTAGAAAAGTTTAGACCTAAAAATCTGCAGCCAGTTTATATTGGAGTTTTATCTCTTGTTCTCTGCTTTTATTTTAATTAGTGGAAACAATACAATGGCTTGGCTGATGTATCTGTCCTTAAAGCAAAAATTTTTTTTTTTTTTTTTTGAGTTGGAGTCACTCTGTCACCCAGACTGGAGTGAAGTGGCCGCTCCCAGCCACCGCAGCCTCGACCTGCTGGGCTCTGGCGATCCTTCCGCCTCAGCCTTCTGAGTAGCCGGAATTACAGGCATGCGCTACCACGCCTGGCTGATTTTTTGATTTATTGTAGAGATGTCTTGCTGCCCAGGCGAGTCTCAAACCCGCGGGCTCAAGCAGTCCTCTCACCTCAGCCTCCCAAAGGCGCGGGATTACAGGCTGAGCCACTGTGCCCCCTAAAGCAAATTTTAAGAACATTGGCTCCATCAGAAATGACTAAGTTCCAGGTATAGAAATTATGTGAATAAAGTTGCTCGATTAAAATTTTTAAGGTTATCCTTCTTGTGTTTTCTTTTTTAAATCTACACATGTCCAGAGGATTTTCCCTGATGATTCTATCTGACGTTTCCTATTTCATTATTAGAGAATATTGTTTGCTTGTAAAGCCTAAGTTTAAGCTGTGGATACGATTACCCTTGAAAGAAAATACAACTGCTTAGACTTAAACTCAGACCTAATAGTAGACTTAGTATCCTTCCTATTTGGAGACAGCAAATCAAAACATGATACGGGCTGAGTATCCCTTATCTGAAATGCATGGGATCAGAATTGTTACTGATTTGGGGTTCTTTTGTTTTGTTTTTTTGGGGGGGGATTTTGGAATATTTGCACATACAGTTGACCTTTGAAGAACATGAGTTTGAACTGTGAGGACCCAATTTCAGTGTGGTTTCTCTTATGCCTCTGCCACTCCTGAGACAGCAAAATTGACTCCTTCTCCTTGGCCTACTCAGCATGAAGGCAATGATGATAAAGACCTTTATGACTATCCACTTCCACTTAAGGAATAGTGAAGATATTTCCTCTTATAATTTTCTTAATAACATTTTCTATTCTTTAGCTTGCTTTATTGTAAGAATACAGCGCATGATACATATAATACACAAAATATGTATTATCAACTTATCAGTAAGGCTCTGGTCAGTAGACTTAGTACAGTTTTGGGGCAGTCAAAAGTTGTGTGTGGATTTTTGACTGCACAAGGGGTAGAGAGGATTGGCACCCCAACACCTATATTGTTCCAACCAACACATGAGGTCAGGTGTGAAATTTCACACTTGTACCGTCATGTTGGTGCTCAGAAAGTTTTGGATTTCAGATCTTCGGAGTAAAGATATTTAACCTTTATAATTCACCCATTAAAGAATTCTTAACATCTTAAGGTTTTCAGATAAAAACATGTTATATTTAAACAATCCCAGTAGTCCCAAACACTTGCAGCCACACAGCACATGTGATGTCTCATGATTTTTATTGGAGCTGCTTATAATAGAATATCATTGTGGTATTTTTTTGTAATGAAGCATTTCAGATATTCAGAATAATGTCACAAAACATGCTGGAATAAGTGGTTGTTAATATATTGCCCTAATTTTTTTTTATAATGAGAAATCTTAAAGGTTACACACTTTTGTTCCCATCTCCAAACCCCACCCCAGGCAGCTGCTCTCCTGAAATCTATCTTGGGACTGAATTACAGTGAGACTGAGTTATAAATGAAGGCTCTTCTTCATATTTGGCATCTTTGTGCACACCCATCTGCCTTTCCGCTTCTCTACCATGTCTTGATGCAGCACATGGCCCTGACCAGAAGTTGAGCAGATGCTGGGGCCATGCTCTTGGACTTTACAGCCACCAGAATTGTGAATGAAATTAGCCTTTATAAATTGCCTAGCCTCAGGTATTCTGTTATTTTAGCAACACTAACTGGACTAAGCTTAATCCTTTTTCTAGATTCTGCTGTAAAGAAAAACTACCTTACTCTCAGAATCAAAAATACTGTATTACATCTAGTTTTTCACATTTAGGTCTAAACCATTTGGACAGGTTTTTGCACAGATGTGAAGGGAGAACCAGCTGTGCAGAAGACAGCCACCTCTCCACGCAGGTACTGAGTGGCGTGCCATCCCCACCACAAGTGGTGTCTAAGCTTGTTTAGCAGTAATGCTCTTCATCACTTGGCAGAAAATAACTTCATTTTTCCATGGAAGCCACAAAACAGTTTGGAAACCTCTTCCAGCGAAGCCTTTAGTGTGGGTTGCTTTTTTTTTTTTTTTTAAGCTTAGCAACTCTCTCCTGTTTTACAAGACTGTATAGTGACTGCCTTCAGTGGTTGTAGAGGGAACAGTTTGGAGGTCCTGGTTTATCTGCTTGGGACAACTGGACCCTTCTGCTGATGGCCTGAGTATAGAAAGAGTCTTTCCCCACACTGCACTTCTTACCCCTACATGTTTCTTGGACATGGGGTTAATCTCTCCTTTCTGACTCAGTCAAATTCTGTTCTAGACCTCACTAGGCTCTCCTGTTCCAACAGTCCAAATGTGCTTGGTAACTTCAGGCGGTCGATGGGAAGGGTAAGGGTAGGCCCGCTATCAATGTCACTTCCACTATAGGGCCCTACTGGACTCCTGCACTGACACACGCTCTTCCATCCTGGCTGCAGGACGCTTCCCACTGATATGTGTCATGGTTGGCTGTGTAGATGTCTGCCTTTCCCTTTAAGAATGGGATCCCTGGGGGCAGAGGCTAGACAATAGAATGACCTCCCTGAGCTGCTTAGGACTGTCTGGCCTGCAAACACTGTAAGCATGTATGGACAGAAATACATGTGAAGACACAAAGCTCATCTCCAACCCTTTGGACCAGGGACTGTCTGACACACACTCCAGGGAAGAGGAGTAAAATGGTTCATTAGGACTGAAGTTCCCTTTGCCCCACTGTGCTGGTTTTGGGATGTTCTCTCCTTACAGTCAGGAGTCTGCACACCAAACGGCAGTGGAGGTTTATTTCAATGCAAGGAAAGCAAAGAATACTGATTATTTTTTTACAACAGTGTTTTTCTTACAAACTAAATTAAGTGTTTGCATTGCTACGACAGAGTTTGGCACTCGAAGAGGACTGTTTACATCTTACATTTGGACCACCTAGGACATTCCACCAGGTGAAGCCAAAAGCCTGTGCTGACTGCAGGAGTCCAAGACTTTGAGGGTCTCCAGGGCTGCTCTCCTGACCCCAGGATCCGAGTCCAGCTGTAGCTCCTGGAGGGCTGAGAGTGAACACAAAGAGGGAAGAATCAGGCCCCTCCCGGTCAGGACCACATGCTTCATGCTCTGGGCAGCAACTGCAGGCCAAGGTGGCTGGCTGATGGTGGGAAGGGGGCAGATGTGGAACCTCCTGTGTGTGTGAAGTCAGAAGACAGCATGTAGGGAGAGGGGAGTGGGATTGGCAATTGAGGGAAACTGCTAGGGGAGGGAGGGGCATTCCTCATCAACAAGGGTACCTGCATGATTAATGTTTATACACCTAACCCTGAATTGTATCCCACATCTTTATAATAAAATTTTTAAAAAAAGACAGCAGGTGGAGCTGTTGCCACATCACAGATCTCTCAGGGCTTTAGGGATCACCCTAACAGGATGGAAAGGTCAACCCACAGAACCTGACAGCATCAGGGCAGATGCATTTCATAAAGAGCTGTGGATGGGAGGTGGGGGAGGGGACAGCACAGGGGACAGAACGGACTCCCAAGGCCAACAGCTGTCTTCCTGGAAAGGTACCTCCATCTCTGTCCTGGTCATACTCCCCACTACAGAATAGTGACCCCTAACAAAGGTTATCTGGCTCTTCCCTTGGAGCGGTTTCACTTAGCTCCCCAAGTGAGTGTTGGCAAGTCAAAAACTCAGAATATAACTGAGTCTCCTACTTACAGTTCCGTAACACTGGAAAGTCCAGATTTTTCAGATAATGTATAGACATCTGCTTCACAATAATACCTGAAATGACAGACAAGGAAATGCTTATCACAGGAATATTAGGTCAGCCAACACAACATTCTATGTCCTTCCCTATAAGAGACCTGGTTTTACATGAGGTCATCGATGAAAGATTTTGTCAGGCCAAAGTTGGCAAGGAGGAAACCTGATTCAAAATCAGCAGGAAGAAAGCATGGCGGGACAGGAGGCATGCTGTGGGAGCTAGACCCAAGCTCTGGTCCTACTTCTGCCCCTTGTCTCCCTCCCCCTCCAGGCCTGGGGTTGACCAGAAGGACTTCAATGTATATCCTGAATCAAGACAACTGTCTGCTCACCTGCCAAGTTGCAGGCAGCAATTCTGATCCTTGACAAGTTATTTTTAACATAGGTCATTGTTTCTAGCAAGAAGCTGTAGAGAACAGCAGGTTTTTTCTGAGTCTGCAAAAAACAAGTGACACACACACACAGCCTTGGAGGATGCAGTCTTCACAATGGGCTGTTTACAGACTATTCCCATGTGTCTGATGCATCAAAGAGGGCAAGCAGCCATCCTAGCAACACACAGCAGGTAAGTAGCTGGGTAAGTTAAGGACATTCAACCCCTTGTATTTTTGCCTGATTCTAGAGAGGCTATTACATCTATCCAGGATTGTGCTGTCCAATACAGTAGCCACTGGCCACATGTGGCCCTTATGTCTTGGAGTGTGGCTGGTCTGGATTAAGCATAAAGTGCCTCCTGGATTTTGAAGAATGTACTAAAAAAGGTAAAAATGACAATAATAGTTTTTATATTGACTACATGTTGAAATGATCGTGTTTAGTTATACTGGGTGAAATAAAATATATTATTAAAACTAGTTTCACCTCTTTCCAGTTTTCTGAATGTGGCTGCTAAGAAATTTAAATGGACATGTGCCTCACATTCTATTTCTGTTGCACAGTACTGGTCTTGGCATGTCACATGTAGAAGGTAAACATGGGACCACAAGAAATCAATCTGTGGCAGTGTTGACCCCAAGCTCCAAACCAGCCTGTGGCCCCCAGGATGGGCTGGCCCCCTTCAGCTTTCTCACCAGGACAGAGCACATGGTTGTCTGGAAAGCCGTCATCTTGTCATCGGCGCTGGCATCACTTTGCCCTGAGGGGCTCTCCAGGGACTTCCAGCCCCAGAAGTGCACACACTGAAACATGGTAGCCATGCAGGCCTGGAGCAACACAGGACACGGGACAGTGGGAGAGGATATCAGGCACAGTGAGCCAGGGTGGCTCACGTGAGAGGTAGAACTAGCACGAAACCAGAGGACAGCGCTGGAAAAGTCTCACAGAGACAAAGAAGGGCAGGGCTGGTGGCTCCTGGGAGGCCACCTGGGACCGGAGCCCTGGCCAGCTTGAACAGGGCTGTGTAAGCTCTTATAAAGAACCCCTTGGAGGCAGATACAGCCCCACCTGCTCCCTCAACCAGCTCCCTGAAGCAGCCATGCTTCAGACCCAGCCCTCCAGGGAATTGGGTGGGGAGCCTGGCTTGGGCGGGCAGGACTGGGTGAGCTTCTCACCCTCCCAGACCCACTGCACCTTCCACCTCCAAGCTCTGGGGGCCCCTGGCCCCTGCTTCTAGGAGATGAGAGGGAAGAGAGAGAAAGATGGATGTCTCTTCCCCAGGGATAGGAGTGGTGCAGCATATCCCATCCCTTGTTGGTTTCCCCATCTTGGTAGCCTCTTCATTACATTCTTGGTCACCCTTGCTGAATGTGCCTCCAGCTTCTTCCCTGAAGTACCACTCTCCCCACATATCGGACTGTTGTTGATAAAATTCAAGAGAACAGTGTGGGCTGAAGATACAGGGTAATGAGGATTCGTGAGGATAAAAAGTCTCAGTGGTGATACTTTATGCCCAGGGTCACCAGGGACCCCGTGGCAAAGCCCAGGAAGGGGGTATGATGAGAGCAAAGAACCGGTCTGGGAAGTGCGCTTATCTCCCTGGGAGGGTCACTCCTGCCTCACCCCATCTGGAAACCTGCAGCCTCACAGTGACAGGATTGGGGGGATTTGTGTCCCAGAGCTGGTGCTAAGGCACCTGTTGGAAATGACCGTTGAATTCTTGTGTGGGATGTAGTAAGCTGCTCCTCAAGCCCTACTGGGCTGAGACCACCCTCCACACACTCCCCTATCTATGTAGGAGTATGAGAGGCACAAAGAGGGATGTCTGGGTCATGGGGAGAGAGGTTCTTACTTGCGTCCCCAGCCAGGGGGAGCCTGAGAGGCAACAGCTAAATGAGGAGTCTCATTGATTTAACAAGTAGATCTCTCCCGGTCTCCCTTCCTATCCCAAGTCAAAGGAGGAGCTGGGCCTTGGAGAGGGAGAAGCCAGGCTTGCTCCCCTCCAGTACTTCTACTGGTCACCATGGACCCACCCCACAGGGAGCAGCGAGGGAACAGAACAGTCCTCGTACCCAAAAGTGACCTGCCAGCTACAGAATCTGTTAGAAGAAAGGGAGATTGGGCAGAGGATGGCTACAGATAGTGACTGGAGAAAAAGGAAACCACACCATACTCCCCTGCAGAGCTGAGGTTCCTCGGTCAACGGTCCCTGCGGGTCATTTTGAATGGTCTTTCTCCCAGCCTGCCCAGGGGTGGAAGGCAGGAGGGGGGATTGCAGCCTCTGGCTTTCAGAGAAGAATGGCGGGGTGGTGGGGGTGGTGAGGTTGCTGGGAATAGACTGGAGTTATCAGAGCCGACAGACCCAAAGGACCTGTTCTTTTGCGGGATGGAGAGGATGTATCTTACTTGGGCTGTGCTGGAGCAGGGGTCCTGGCAGTGCAGCATGAGGGGGATCCAGGCCTTCTTCACTTCCCCTTTGAAGAAATGCTTCTTGAAAATCCCGACCACCTTTGCCAGTCTCCCAAAGAGGATGAAAGATTTCAGTCGCAGCAACTCGCTCTCCTGTGGCCGATATGAACACTCCAGGGCAGACACCCAGGAGGCAAGACGCCCAAGAAACCCCAGCCATTCTCCAAGAACCACTTTAAATGCCCGAGCCCCTTCAGAGCCTTCTGGATCATTCCGTCAGAGCGGAGTCTCAACTTTGGCAGGGCTCCTGTAGCCCTCAAGGAGGGACTGGGCATTCTCCTGGTCTTTGTGACAGGCTCTGTGTGGGACTGGAGCACACACCACTGCCTAGCAGAGACCCAGCACAGCGTGGGTGCTCAAGGTGTATTTGTGGGCTACAAGGAGGAAGGAAAGGGGGGCGCTCTTCCCCCCTAACAGGACTAGAGGGGCCCATGAGTTCTCTGATTCTATAGTACTGATTCTCTGGGACTTAGAATAAGACCCTTCATTCTGCAGGATCCCGGATCCTGTAGAACACTGGCCCCAAACAGAAGCCTCAGTTCTTTCTGCTTCAGAGCCCATGTCTTCATCGGGGTGAGAAGGGCTCCCTCCTCTGAGCAAGCTGAGGGGGCTTGGAACTGGACTCACGTTGTCGAAGAAGACCCTGCACTGCTTGGAGATGGCATCAAAAGAGGCCCCCACATCCCCTTCTTGGAGTTCAGCAAGGATCTTGGTTAAGGCCTCCATGCCCTCGGCAGCCACACTGGTGCTCGTGGACTCCCTCAGGGAGCCCAGACACTTCTCCAGCAAGAGTTTTCGATACTTCTTCACCTGGAGGGTGTGAGCAGCCCTCAGCTCCACCCGTGCTCCTTGGGACAGGAGCACCCAGCGTGCACCCTCGGCTTCAGGACTGGGCTCAGGGATAGGCTCAGTACCTTCCTGGGGGCACCCAGGGCCATGTTGCCAAGGGCTCGCAGGGACAACATACGCAGGGCCTCATCCTCCTCCTGGTTGACACCCTTCTCCAGCAACACCACCACTGGCCTCAGCAGCTTCTCCTGGTACAGAACTGGGTTGCTCATGAACTAGCGAGGAAAAGTTTTGACGGTTATCCCCAGAGGAGGCCCACTTCTCAGCCACAAGGCAGGATGTGGGGTTAGATGCCATGCACAGATTGGTTGCTCTATGAACAGGAGGGGAGGGGCTCCAAGTGCCTCAGTTTCCTCATCTGTGAAACAGAGGTGATACTAGTACCTCCTTCAGGGTTGTTGCAGGGATTCAATAGGGAAGTATGTGAGGAATGCTAGATAAGTGTTACTTGTACAGATACATATGTTTATTCATCATTTGTCTCTTCAGTTAGCATGGGAGCTACTGCCAAGTGCACAAGTCACACTCACCCTTGTCAGAAATGCACAAGAGGCATGACTTTCACTCATTTGGGAAAATCTCTGTTGGCCTAGTTTTTGAAGTACAGAGACCTCAGGCCAGTGGGAACTCCTTGGTGTGTGCATGCATGTGTATGTGTGCCTGTGTTTTAAAGAAGTCTAAACAGAAAACTAAACACCAAATGGGTGAATCTAGGAGCAGGAGAAGTTATTGACCATTAGCCACATCCAGTTCCTTGAACCCTCCCTAAACATGACTGCTCTAACCTCTCAAGTGCTCCATCTCCATCTCGCTTCCCTTCCAGCCTGTCCTAGACACTGACATCAGCGGGTGCTTCCTACAACACTTTAGTTCATTTACACATTTACTGAGTAGCTATTAAAATCCAGGCAGAGCAGTGAATAAAACTCACACCTATTTTAAATGCTCTTCAGGATAAAGTTCAAACTTGTCAGCACCTGTTTTAAAAAATTATTTATAGCCCAGTACTATCCACTTGAAGAACTTAAATAACCTTGCTTCTTAAAAAACTGAAAACCTAATTTTTCAACAGAAACACTTGGCTAGCATTTAACACAACAATTAGCTAGCTCACAGGCAAGCAACATAGACATTATCTCATTTCATTCTCACCAAAGCCCCGTATAGTGGGTCCTGCCATTCCTGGTCTGGCATGTGCAGAAGTTGAAGCACAGAGACGCTAAACTTATCCCCAGCTGCTGTGCTGCTGAATGGGGGAGCCATGATCCTAACCAGGCCCTCAAATTCCAGCATGTGGGACTGGCCCTCTGCTGCACTGGCTTCTGGCCACTGAGAGTTGTGAACACAGGCACATCAAAAGGCAGGTCCTGGGTGAAGCAATGGGAGAGCGCCTCTCCTTCCACCTTCACAAAGGCAGTGTGAACACGGGAGGAGCCCGAGAACCTATGAAAGTTCAGCAGGCATGTCCCAGGAGGTTTTGTATGGCACACAGTCAAGAATCATTGTCACATTTTTAAATTGTGGGAAAATATCTAGAGGACATTCTGTGACATGTGAAAATTTATATTAAGATTACATTTTAATATCCAGGCTGGGCACGGTGGCTCCCGTCTGTAATCCCAACCCTTTGGGAGGCCGAGATGGAAGGAATGCTGGAGCCCAGGAGTTCAAGACCAGCCTGGGCAATATAACGAGCCCTCATCTCCACAAAATGTCAAAAAGTTAGTCAGGTGTGGTGCCTGCCTCCCAGCCACTCGGAGGCTGAGGCAGAAGGATGGCCTGAGCTCAGGCGTTCGAGACTGCAGTGAGCGATGATCTTGCCACGGCACTCCAGCCTGGGCTATAGAGTGAGACCTCGATTCAAAAGTAAATAAATAAAAAATAAAAATAAATCAATACGATTATTATTCTTTTTAACTAAAAATAAATAAATTTCAGTGTCCATCACTAAGGTTTTGTTGGTACCCAGCCACCCCCACTAGCTCAAGTATTGCCTGTGGCTTCTTTCCTACACTAACAGTCAAGTTGGCCAGAAAGTCAAACATATGTATTGACTACGAAGTCATTTATAGAAAACCATGGCCAACCCCGGGCCTAGGCTGTTGTTCAGTTCCTGCGGTGTATTGGACACCATTCCCCTCAGGACCTTCTGTGGAGAGGGGCACTCCAGGCCTCGCCTTCCTGACTGGCAAGGCCCCTCGACCTCTCAAAGTCTTCCTGCAGGACGCCTGCCCCAGCGAGAGCCCAGGTGCCCTCCCTGAGCCCCCTGGGCTGCTGGCACCTGCCTGGTCACGCATCATGTAGCTGCTACGCTTCAGGAAACAGACTGTGCCCCAGCCTCTTTTTCCACAGTGCCTGGCCCTGCACTGTTCATGAGGTGAATGAGCGACGGAGTAGATGAGTGAACAAGCACACACAGGAGGGGAGCTGGCCTGCCCTCTGACTCCAATGCCTAGAAATGGGCCATCTTCAGAAGAACCCGGGGGGTCCCCATCCCCTCCACTCTCGCCCAGCCTCACCTCCACACAGACGGCTGTGCTGCTGACGCGGCAGCTCAGAACTGCTGAGTCCATGCCGCTGAGCATCAGCTCCGACAGCCTCAGCCTGTAGCACTCCACGTGCTGCACACACAGCCTGCAGAAGAGAGACAGCAGCCGCAGGGTCAGGAGGCAGCCCGGCTCCTGCCAGACAGTTGCCAAGAGCTGGGCAGAGCCGTGCTGCAGCCTGGTGCCAGCTGGCAGGGTGACCTTGGGCAGAGCAGGCTCCTAATACCTCTGGCCCTCTCCCTTCTCACCCATGGGACTTGGTCGGGGTTGTCAGGGGAGTATTTACTCTCCATCTCCTGTTTACAAAAAGGGACTAGAATGAGAGCTATTTCTGAGTAATCGGGACCCAGGAGGTAGCTCTTCATCCGGCCCTTACTCAAGGCCCCGTGTGGCCTTCGGCAAGTTCCTCTTCTTTCTGACCTCACCTCTCTTGCTCTGAACAGGAAGAGTTGGAATAGGAGTGTCTTGGTGTTTGTACACCCTGCCCATCCCACAGTCTGGGACATGGGTCACCATGGCAAATCCCCCAGAAAGGAGGCATTTGGCCATGACTGGACCACACCCTTTGAAGGGGGCCCGTCCATTCAGCAGAAGGTGCTTCTCAGGTCCCACTCCCACACTGTGAGGGCTGAGGCCCACCTGGCCAGCAGGCTAACGCCCTCCAGGAAGGTCTCGCTGTCCTGCAGGTGTGCCCACACCACCTGCTCTTCCAGGGCATGTGCCAAATGCTTGCTGTCAATTCTCTTGAACAGGAGCTGCATGGACTTGATGGTGATTCTGGAAGAAGGTGGGAGCTTGTGATGTGCAGCCTTGCCGACAATGCATGCTTCAGGGAGGCTGGCCGAGAGGTCACCCTCTACAGCTGCCATGGTCTATGAAGGGGGGTCCCAACACCTGTGAAGTCTAGCCCAATGGGCTAAGGTTATAGTCCCAGGAGAAAGTGGGTCTGCAAGCTCTGAAAACCACTCTGCGATGGACATATGTGAGGGAGGGGTGGAAAGACCAGCTTCCAGAAATTTCTCTTCCCCACCAGGAAGGGACAGCAAGGGCCCCTCGGTGGGGGTGACTCAAGGAGTCCAGTAGCTTCTGAGGGGCAGCCAGAGGTTGCGTCCGGCCCAGGCCTGCTGCCCCACCCACTCATCTGCCCTCAGAGCACCTTTGCAAGTTCATCTCCTCAGGCAGGGTCCCCGTATGCATCAGCCTCCATGTCTTCAGGTTGGGCGAGGTGGCCTCTGGCCTGTGGCTACAGCCCAGCTGCAGCAGGAGGGTGTAAATGAGATCGGGGATGAGATCTGGGAGCTTGTTGTCCTTGTCAATCTTCTCGATGAGAAGGTGGATAGTGCACAGGGTCTGCAGAGGAAAGGCCTGGGGCATCAGTACGCTTATCCAGAGACACCCAAGGAGTCCTGGGGCCTGCCCCTGTGACTCACCATCAGAGGGTCCACTGCAGCCAGGCGCCAGATGTTGTTCTTGGAGGTGGCATTTATCCTGGGTGTGAACCACGACTGCAGCCGGCTCATCAGGCTGTGTAGTATGGTCCGGGCCAAGGGCAAGTTTTCCGACACAGCCAGCCACACGTCCATCAGGTGGCTAACCAGTTAGGGCACAAGGACTGTGAGTTTCCTGCCATGTGCCCTGACAGGTAAGAATTCCTTTTGGCCCCTAGGCTGCCTCCTAAGTAAAGGTTAAAGTCTAGGGGCTGAGTCTTAGGGAGGTGGAGTGGGCCACAAAATGTGCCTCATTAGAACACAGGCCCCTAACTCCACACTCAACCACCTTTCCCTGAACAGGTTCACAGGAAAGCTATGGCCCATGCAGAAGCCCTAGCTCCACTGCCAGTTGACCTCAGAGGCCTCCACTTCTGGCTGCTTGCTTGATGATGTTATGGACATGTCTAGTAATATCTTCAAATGCCCAATTTGTGTCAGGTTGGTCCTAGGCAGTTTGCAGATATTGCATCACCTAAACCCTCATAACACATCTTTGAGGAAGATATCTTTTTTCTGTATATTCCACAGGAGAGGAAACCAAGGCTTGCAAAGGTTAGGCAAGCTGCTAGCCTACAATTGGAAATGGCTTTCCTGATCCCCAAGTCCAAGCCCGATGACCCGCTGAGAAGAGAAGTGCCCCCAGGATAGCTACAGAGAAGTGGGGATTCAGTAGATTAAGTTGAACAGAAGGACATGTCAGTTGCCGATTTGACTCCCCAAAACCAAATACACAAGAACAGGGAGGTGAATTTGGTAAGAGGGGGAAGATGTGGCCCAAGCTTAGTGGCAGGAATCAAATGGAGGGGTGGGCATGATGTGCTCATTAGTACTACGTGTAAAAGAAGCCATGAGGTGTGAGGCAACTAGAAAGCAGAACCTCAGTCTTACAACAGTAAGGAACAGAATTCTGCCAACGATCACATGGTCTTGGAAGAGGACCCCAGGCCCTGGGATGCAACCCAGCTGACACCCTGATTGCAGTCTTGTGAGACCCTAAATGGAAGGCCCAGCTGAGCCATGCTCAGACTCCTGATTCATGGACACCGAGATCATAGGTGGGTGTTGTTCTAAACCTCTAAGTGGATGGTAATTTGTTACTCAGCGATAGCTAGCCAAGACAGACTTCGGCAAACTAAGTGATAGCCACCAAGCACACCTGACCCAGGGCTGCACTGCACACCATCCCTCACCCTCAACCAGCACTGCCCCGAGAGCCACTGACTTGCTAAATTGCAAAACTGCACAGCCCTCCTGCTTGGACCCACTCTGCCCTCACCAGAAGCAGCTCCAAGGTGGAGCCAGCCTGCATTGTGTGCAGGTCAGTCCTTGTGACTCCGGATCCAAAGCCGTTGTCTGAAACTCTTTTCTCTGTTCACAGACTCTTAGCATGACATCTACCTTACCTCCCCACACCAGCACAGGCTCGGCTGCTCTGGGCCCTCCTCAGATGAATTCTAACACCATTCCAACAGCCTCCCCACATCTGCGGACACCCTGCCCAGCTGCCTATACCATGCTGTAGCTCATACAGGAACATGGCACTACTGGTAGAGATAACACTGAGAAAGGAGGGGGCTCCTCTGCTTCACTCATGACTACCTGAGGGGCTGGAGGTTGAGGGAGGGGGACATTTCTCGCTAAAGGGACTTGGACAAGTCATTTCCCCTAGCAGGACACATTTTTGAAAGGAGTAGGGACTGAAGCATCTCCAAAGACTCACTCAGGCCTTGGGAGCCACATCCTGTGGCCTATCTGCTCTGAGCGCTGTTCCCCACAGGGAAGGAAAGAGCTGCCAAGGGGGAGACGCTGGACTCCATAGATACTGCCCCAGGACAGGGGTGAACCAGGACACATGAGGAGCTTCAGGGTTCAGATTCCAGCTCCATATGACAAAGCTGTAGAAGTCTGGGCTCCAGGTCAGTGGTTCATCAGAGGCTGGTGCCTCCTACAGAGATCTGCCTCAGGGTGGGGCAAGGTACTGCCCAAGGTCCCAACGTTTCTGGAACATGTTGGGATGGTGACTTGGGCGTGGTCTGAGCTGCACAAAAGGCTGGGGCCACCTCCTCCAGGACACCCACCTCTCCATGGGCAGGGGCTGCCTCAGGAGCGACGTGAGTACAGTCTCCTGGTGGTAGTGCGCCAGCAGGAGAATGCCTTCAATGAGAAGGCGCCGCACTTCCGGGTGATCCACCACAGGCAGGTGCACCAGGATGGTGCCCAGGATCTCGGCCACCTGGGGAAGGGGAAGGGCATCACCAGGGACAGCCAGGGTCCCCATGGCCTCCTGCCCTCACCCCATTACACACCCCTGCTCCAAGGACTGTTGCCCAACTGGATGATGGGCAGGTTAAACCACCAGCACCTTCTCCAGCCCATCCTTTGGTCTTTTCCTCCAATTCATTTTATCAGACTTTCAATGTGGGAAGTGGCGCACTCTGGAAGACCCTCGAGCCTCCAGTTCACCACCCACTCACTGACCAAGTGACCTTCAACATGTTTCTTTCTCATTCTAGACCTCTACTTTCTCTTCCACTTTAGCAACCAGGGGTTTGGGGGAGGCATTCTCCATGGGTGGGGGTGGGGCCCTCGCCTGGTCTCTCTCTCATCTAGGTGCACTGAACAGCCCAGCCCCGTGCCCAGGTGGCCCCTGTCACAGCTCTGCTACCTTGTCCTCCAGCTCCTTGACCCGCATCTGGAGGAAGATGCCTATCCAGGTGACGGAGGCCTTGTCATGCTGCAGGTCCATAGCCCCGATGTTCTCACAGAGCTTTTGGATGAGTAAGACCACTTCGTCACAATTAAACTCCATGCAGACCACCTAGGAGTAGAGCAGGCAGATCTGGGTCCACAAATCAAGTCCCAGGTTGAGTCCCCTGGTCCCCCAACCCCCGTAGCTGCTGATGCCCTCTCCTCCTCTGGCCCACCTCCTGGCCCCAGTCTCTCTCAGACCATGGCCACGGTCTCTGATCAGGCTTCCTGTTGCCTCTCACTGTCCAAATCACCAGTCTGCTCAGACCTCCCTACTCCAAGGACACCCACTGCCGGCCCTTCCAGATTCAATGGCTCTCCAAGACCACTGGGGAGTACTCCAACCTCGCCCACTCCTTGTTACCTGCCCTCCACTTCCCCAATCCTACACAGGAAGCACTACCCCAAACTTTCACCATCCTCACCCTGCAGCCTTTGTGTCCTGAGCCCTGACACCTCCCATCTCATCCAGCCACAGCACAACCCCTTGCTCCAGGAAGTCATTTCTGCCCCTGAACCAGAAGGGTCCTGGCCCCCTGCGGCCTTGGGCCTCCTGTTTTAGCTGCTCTGGGCACTTCCACTCATCACTGGCCATTAGCCTGCCTGTGTGCCAACAATATGTGCAGGGCTGGTTCCGGGGATTCCTATGGCCCCTCCATAATCAGCGTAGCATATCATAGGGACAGGGAGAAGACAGCCAGGCATGTTAAACACCTACTGTGTGCCAGAGAGCACAGGGCATACCTGACAATAACTCAGGTCATTTCAGGCCATTTCAGCACCACCTCCCACACTGAAAGTCTGACAAAATGAATTTGAGGAAGAGACCAAAGGATGGGCTGGAGAAGGTGCTGGTGGTTTAACAGGCCCATCATCCAGTTGGGCAAGAGTCCGTGGAACAGGGGTGTGTAATGGGGTGGGGATAGGAGGACATGGGGACCCTGGCTGTCCCTAGTGATGCCCCTCCCCATCCCCAGGTGGTGAGGTCCTGGGCGCCATCCTGGTGCACCTGCCAGTGATGGGTAAGATGAACCAAAGGCTATGGAAACAGTAATCCCAGAGGAAAATGTGGACTACACAGGTGGCCCAGGAAGGCCTTGCCTCCAAAACATGGCCCCAAGACCAGCTAAATGACCCACAAAGACGTTCCAGCTGTCACCTTGGCAATTCTGGAGGATACACAGAAAATCTTCTCCATGTCTGTGTCCTGGAGGTCCTCCTTACATTTTTCAAGCTCCTTCTCCTTGGAAGCACCCCACAAGGAGCAGGTCTGGCTTGCTGTTGGGAATACAATTTCAGGGCAGACCAGCAGGGGCAAGGGCCTGACAACGGTCACCTCATGGTGACTCCCTGCCTGGCTTTGTGGGCCTGAGTCACCCTCCAGCACCCAGACATCCCATCCCTTCTGGCCTTTGCTCTCATTGCTCTTTCTGTGTGCCAGGCCTTTCCCTACACCACCTCTACATTCAGCTCAGATGTCTATTCTCCCTTGAGCTCAGCTCTGGCCAGTTCTGTCACATCCTTGGTACCTGCAAGCTGACCTCCTCCCAGTAGGGACCCTCAGTGCCCAGCATGTGCCCTCAGTGAGTCAATCTAAACCAATGAGCCTCCTCTTCTGGAAGCTTCCATGGCCTCTCCATGAGCTTTCTTTCCTCTTCCCTCTGCTGGTCACTCTTGTTTGTCTCCATGCCTGCCTGTTCAGAGAGGCCACACTTCCCTCCAGGGTAGGCCGCAGCTGACACCCATAGTGTCAGCCTTTCCTCCCTTCCAGAGAGGTTGTCCCTCATTGTTCTACCATCTACATACCATGAAGATCTAGCAGGCTGGACAGGACATTAGTTGAGGCCACACGAGTTCTTTGGTGGGTATCACAGGTGCATGGGGCGATGAGTCCAACCAGAGTCCCAAACTGCCCCAGCTTCAGGGGGATCTGAGGGACAGGAGACCTCAGAGCTCATACCTTGAGCCCTCATGCACACCCAAAGCTGCCCAAGATCAGTGTAAAGCTGGCAAGAGAGGGTGAACTCTGTTCTGAAAACACCCATCTGGGGAGGAGAAGGCTGCCCCCATCCACCTTCACCTAAGCAGCAGCCTTCCCAGTCCTGCAGGGGTCCCTGGAGCAGATCAGCCAGGATCTGAGGGTCTCGACTCAGGACTTGCCCCGAATCAGCTCTGCTCTGCTCCATTCTAAACTCTAGCCCAGTTGTTCCTGTAGAGAAGCCTAGGTTCAAACCAGGGCTTCTCCACTCACTAGTGGAGTGACCTGAGCAGGGCACTTCACCACTCTGTCTCTCATGTTCCTTGTCTGTAGAGTAGAGATAATAATGGTGCCTCCTCTTTCAAGGAATACTTTGAGAATTCAGGCAATACACTCTGCACAGCACCTGGCCTCAAACATTGCTTAGCAATGGTCCTGGCCCCCGACTCATTTTTTTGAGCCTTCTTCCCTACTTCCATCTAGATGCTCCAGGACCAAGGTCCTGCCCAGCCCAGTTTTCACTCTGCATCTCTCCCAAAACAGGCCCGTCATCGCACCCCAGCCCCTGACCCACTGTTCTCCTCCCACAGCCATCCAGAGGACAAAGCAATCAAAGAATAAGGAGCCAACAAATGTAGGAAAAGAAGTCTCATCAAGCTGGGTCTGATGGTTAATCAACAAAAATGTTGCATTGTTCTAGGTTTCCTGATGTTTGTAGTACTTGTCAAGCTTTGTAAAATTTGTGATTCTATAGTTATTTATATTTTCATTCTAAGTAAATATCCACTTTGCTAACCAATGTAGGATTCATAATTGCATATCCTTTTTCTTTAAGAAGGCCCTCACCGCTGCATTAGCCTTGGCCCCTACAAAACCTGTATCTATGCCAACCCGAGACCTCCATCCTCTCCCTCCTGCACCCACCCCAGAGCCCCAGTGCTGGTTCATCGCAATCTCTCCCAAGGGACACTTTGAGGACAGAATTTTATTTCAAAAGTGTTCCTTCTTCTCCCAGATAGAGACAGGAATTCCTCTGTGGATGTCATAGTGGCAGGCTAGAGAGCTGAGCACTCCTGAACTCACGCAGATACCGGTGCTTTGGATGTAGAGCTGCATGAGATGAAGATGGAGGTTCATGGCCTTCTCTCGCTCCCATTCTTTCTCTGACAAGATCCATTTTTCTAGGAGCTATGGGTAGAGCCCAGAACACAAAAGAAGGCATCAAAATCCTGGGGCCAGTTCTTTCCTGGCCAGCTTTTGCCCTCCTTGCCCCTCCTACTCAGAGTCTCTCAATGTTTCTGTGTGGTTCTAGACACTTCTGATTTTCTTCTCAGGCCCCACCATGAAGGGAAATGAGGTTGTGGGCAAGGATAGACCATCCTAAGCATCTTCACCAGCATGATGCTCGACTGTTATGTTTGGCCTAGCTCCAAACATCTGCCTGCAATGAAAGACCATGAGCACTCGGCCCTGGGGGCCATTCTAATAGTAAAATTTATTTCAGAGCAAAGATATTACCATGCATAAAGAGGGTCATGTCATCACAATAAGGGTTGATTCATCAAGAAGACATAACAATACTAAATGTTTATGTACCTAACAACATAGCTAAATAATACACAAAGCAAAAACTGATAGAACTGAAAGGAGAAAGAAACGAATCCACAGTGATAGTCAGATGTTTCAAAAACCTCCTCAATAATTGATAGAACAAGAAGCCAGAAAATCAGAAAAGGTATAGAAAACTTGAACAACATTGTCAATAAACTTGGTCTAACTGCCATTTAGGAACACTACACCCAACAGCCCCAAAATATTTTTCAAGTGTACATGGAATATTTGCCAAAATAGATTGTTTCTTGGCAACAAAATAATTCTCAATCACTTTTAAAGGATTTAAAACATACAAAGTATGTCCCCAGACAACAGTAGAATTAAATTAGGAATCTAAACCAGAACGATCTCTAAAAAAAAATCTCCAAATATTTGAAAGTTTCTAAATAATCTACAGGTCAAAGAAGAAATCAAAAGGGAAATTAAAATGTATTTTGAACCGAAATAGAACACAACATATCAAAACTTGTGGGGTGCAGCAAATAAAAATCAATGTCTATGAACTTATATTATCTGATCCTGATTTCAAGACTTATTATATACAGCATTACAGTAACCAAGACAGTGTGATATTGGTGTAAAGATAGGCAAACATCAATGTAGCAGAATAAGTGTCCACAGACTTGGTCACTTGATTTTAAACAAAGGTGCAAAGGTAATTCAATAGTCTTTCCAACAAATAGTGCTGAAATAAATGGCTGTCAATGTGAAAAAAAATTAAAACAAAATAAACTTTGACCATACCTCAGACCATACAAAAATTAACTTAAAATATATAATAGACTTAATTGTAAAACTTGAAAATACAAATCTTCTAGAAGAAAACATAGGAGAAAACCTTCGGGACCTAGAATTAGGGAAAGATTTCTTAGATTTGATACCAAAAGCATGTTTCCTAAAAGCAAAAAGGAGAAATTGGGCTCCATCAAAATTTAAAACTTCTGCTCATCAAAAGATAATGGAAATTAATCAAAAAACAAGCCACGGACGAGAATAAAATATCTGCAAGTTACATATCTGATTTGCAAATTACACATCTGGTAATACTGTATCTAGTATATATAGAGACATCTAAAATCTCAATAATAAGAATGCAAACAACCCAATTTTTAAAAACTGGCCAGACATGGTGGCTTATGCTTATAATCCCAGCACTTTGGGAGGCCAAGGTAGGAAGACTACTTGAGACCAGGAGTCGAGACCAGCCTAGACAAGAGAGCAAGACCTCGTTTCTACAAAAAAAAAAATTAGCCAGGTGTAGTGGCATGCACCTATAGTCCCAGCTACTCGGAAGGACAGGGTGGAATTATCACCTGAGCCCAGGAGGTCAAGGTTGCGGGGAGCTGTGATCACGCCACTGTACTCCAGCCTGGGCAACAGAGTAAGACCCCCCTTCCACAAAAAACCTAGCCAGGATCCTTCAAAAGTACCAAGATTATGAAAGATAAAGAATACAGAGCTGTTCCAGAAAAGAGAACAAAGAGACATGACCGCTGAATGCAATGCATAATATCAATTGTATCCCAAATCAGGAAGAAAATAACTATTAAAAATATTCATACAATTTGAATATGAGTCATAGATTTTAATATAGCATTGTACTAATATTCCTGAATTTGGTAACTGCACTCTGTTATATAAGAGAATGGTCTTATTCTTGAAATCTACAACTAACTTTCCATGGTTCAAATGATGTGTGTGTAGAATGAGAGAGAGGAAGATGGAGAAATAAAATATAACAAATTAAGAACTATGAATCTGTAAGAAGAATATCTTTGTACTATTCTTACACATTTGGAATTTTATCAAAATAAAATTACTAAAACAATGACCTATACACTCCACTGTTTCCCATAGTCTGGCCCTCAGGCCAGCTCCCTGGGAAGAGAAGCCATCCCTGGCTTCTGGCCCTCCACTAGGTGACTCACATGCACCATCTCCTGTAGGCCCCTGGGGTCCAGCTGCCTCTGCAGGAGGCTCTCCATCAGCTGCTCCAGGGCTCTCAGAGCATTGGCATACAGGGTCTACAGCCAAGAGAGAGAGCTGGGTAGCAATGAGGGGCACCTGCAGTTATCCTTTTTTCAGGGAGGTGGTATAAAAGCCATCCTTCTGCTCAATTTGAGTTCCTTATGCTCATCTTTTCATGTGAAGTACAAGTCAACCTTTTAAGGAGAATTCATTTTACAAAGGAGGAAATTGATTCCTAGAGCCCAGTTGTTCTCATCCTGCACTAGGCTCTTGTGGCTACCTGACAATAAAATATTCTGTCTCCTCTTCCACAGTGTTGTTGGAAAATATCCATCCCATCAGGGACTACATTTCCCAGTATCTCTAGCATGGATGGAGCCATGTGACTATAGTCTGGCCAATGGAAGGAGGGGAAAATGGCTCCTAATCTTCCCTAGGCTTTCTCTCCCTCCTCTCCAATCCAGGCTGGATATCAATACCCACAGGGACCTTAAGAGCTATGCATTGAAGGTAGTGGGACCTCTGCCAGCCTGGGTTCCTGAATAGCTACATGAAGCAGCCACTCTCACCCCCACTGACAATTGAACTTTACTTGGATGACAAATAAACTTTATCTTGTTGGCTAGGCACGGTGGCTCAAGTCTGTAATCCCAGCACTTTGGGAGGCCAAGGCGAGAGGATTGCCTGAGCTCAGGGGTTCGAGATCAGCCTGGGCAATTTGGTGAGACCTCGTCTCTACAATAAATTCAAAAATTAGTCAGTTGTGATGGCTCATGCCTATAGTTCCAGCTACTTGAAAGACTGAAGTGGAAGGATCACCTGAGCCCAGCAGGTCGAGGTTGTGGTGGCCATGAGCATGCCACTGCACTCCAGCCTGGGTGACAGAGTAAGACTCCTACTCAAAAAACAAAACAAAACAACAACAACAAAAATTTCTTGTTAACCCACCAAGATTTCAGAGTTTATCTGTTACAGCAGCTAGCATTGCCTTATACTTACTAATAGAGCCCACTACACTTGACTGCCTCTAGCCTCTTGAGGGTGGTTCAGGAAGGCGGACTCTTGGCACTGCCTATGTTAATGTAAGATTCCAGGTTCCGACCCAGAAAATGGAGTGGCCTAGAAGGACCTACCTTAATGGACTCATTGTCCTCCCCAGGGGGTTGGAGAGAAATTACAGAATGTATACTGATGTCCATCAGCTCACTGTTTTCCTCCATTTTGTAGAAAGGCTTCAGCTTGCTGGGGAAAGAAGCAGTGACAAGAGGAGTGGTCGCTCAGGAGTTGAGTCTCTGCTGCCCCATTGCCCAGTCTGGGCACAGAGGCACATCCCAGAAGAGAAAGAGGCCAAATTCTCTGGTTGGGCCTTCTAGCATGCACTTATCCCCAGTGCCCTGGGCTCTGCCCAGCCACCAGTGTCCAGGGACTATGTCTGTGGGAGAGTCAGAGGTCCAAGGCCACCTTTCTTTCTTGGTTGCCTGCTCTGAACTTGCTCATCTCCCACTCAGAAACATTTCATTGCTCCTCCCTGACTACAGCTATGAAATCTGCCCTCCCAGGCTGGACCTAGTCTAAGGGTTTTCAAGTGTCAGACTTGGACCAGCAGTAACAGAGTCACCTTGGAGTTTATTAGAAACACAAACTCTTTGGTCCCCACCCCAGGCCTTCTGAATAAAAAACTCCAGGTTGGATCCCAGATACCTGTGTTTCAATAAAACCTTCAGAAGTGGTAAAGAACTGACTATTGCATACCAGCTCATTCTCCTTCTATCCCCTTTATCAATAGTTCTCAAGTTTGGTGCAAATTAGAATCATCTAGAGGGCTTTTTTTTTTTTTTAGTTAGAGTCTCACTCTGTCGCCCAGACTGGAGTGTAGTGGCTACTCCCAGCCACCGCAGCCTCGACCTGCTGGGCTCCAGCGATCCTTCTGCCTCAGCCTTCTGAGTAGCCGGAATTACAGGCATGTGCTACCACACCCGGCTGATTTTTTTATTTATGGTAGAGGTGAGGTCTCGCTGCCCAGGCAGGTGTCGAACCCGTAGGCTCAGGCAATCCACTCACCTCAGCCTCCCAAAGGTGCAGGATTACAGGCTGAGCCACGGAGCCCGGCTTGGAGGGCTTTTTAAGGATCCTCAAGGACCATGTCCATGCCCCAGAGACTGAGGTAAGACCTGGATATCAGAACTATTAAAAGCTCCCAAATCCCCTCCCAGAATTGAGAGCCGTCATTACTGTCATTTTAAACTCCTGCTCCCCACAGGTGTCTTACACTTCACCCTCCTGGGAAGTCCCCAAATGCAGTCATTCTGTTTAAGCTCAGGTCAAAAGTCCATGCCAACTCCCGCATCAAGTCTTTGGATAGCCCCGGTCATCCAGATTCAGCAGCATTTTGCTAATATTAGATTTTTTTGTGGAGGAGGGAGAGTTAACCTGAAAACACATTCCTTTTAGTCATCTCTGTCCTGTAATTCTGTTTGTACATATTCATCTTATCTCTACGTTCTTAAAAGGCTGGGATTAGGTCTTACATCTCTCTGTATCCCCCCAGTACCCGGCATATAACTGAACTTGTGATCAGTTGATGCAACATTTATTTAAAATCTGCCTGTTTGCTGCAGCTTAAAGCAACAGATAGTTCTGCCATGAGCCTAAGCATTGAATATTTCCACATAGGTAAAGGAGTCTGAGAGATGACCCAACAACTTCAAATACTAATTTCATAAATCCATAACTTCTTCCCCTTCCCTCTTCCCACCAGTGAGTTGACAGCCCCAGAAAGGCAAGCCTTGGGCATTGGATCACTTTATATAAATGAAATCAATAATAGTTGACTGAGCCCATGAACATGTTTACTGAACCCGACTCATCTTGAAGGATGCCATCTATCTGTGATGTTCTTCAGTGTCACCACTACGATTTATGTTCAACATATCCCCTAATCTACAGAAAAACAGCCCACCCACCTGCAGTTCACCTCCCAATCTAAGAAGTGTCCATCTTGAAATCGTGCTGTGAATTACAGAAGGAGCTAGCTGAAGGAGACCCCCCATCTTCTAGGCTGGCCCATTGCCCTGGGGAGCTGCCACGTGAGACCCCTGCTACAGAGATAGTGGAGGGCAAAGGAGGTACAACCTCTGAAGGAGCACCAAGGATGGTCTCTTGGGGCACAGGCAGGCGTCCAGCTCACCTCAGGTGCGAGAGGGCCTCCATTGCCAAGGTCCGCACTGGAGAAACCAGGTTGTCGGTCGGTTCCGCTTCAATGATTGCCTGCCCAACCCAAGCAGGGCAGTAAATGCCAGCACCCAGAGGTCCAGCAAGGCAAGGGGTGGTGTGGTCTTTGGTTGACAGTGACTGTGATGGCAGCAGCACTCCCCAGTGTTAGCATAAGGAAGACCTGACACTTTACAGAGTGCTCTAACATCCCACGCCCCTTTTGTTCTTTTTAGGATCACTTGGCCTTTGGCATCCTTGGGAGGTAGCACAGTAGGAGGGGGCCTCTAGATGGACCTGGGCTCCTTACTCAGGCCCATTTACTTTCTGTGTGTCTTTGGGCAAATGCTCCTCCTGCCTGATCTCTATAAAACAAGACCAGGTGACCCATTTCACAAGGTTGTGTCAGGCTGGTGTGAAATTACATGAGCGTGGCTCCTGCCCAGAGTAGGAGCCAGACCCTTGTCCATTTCCTCCTTGGTAACTCCTGTTCCTCCTACACCTCACGTCCCTCAGCGGCTGCTTCTAGCCCAGCCCAAACACTTTCCAGGGCCAACGCATTGGCAGTGACATGGGGTGGGAGGTCTGGGATAAAAGACATTGGCTGTACCACAAGCTTCATCAGCCTTCGGGTAGCTGACATTTTCTGTGTTTTACTAAAGCTCTGTGCAAATGTTGCTCTGAGTTCTGCTTCCAGTAGATCTCTGTCTCCTAAGTCCTTCCCATGGAGAAGCACTGAGGTCCAACCTGGGCTGACCCAGTGGGTTTTCTACCAGTCCCAGAACCAGTCTCCTCTGAGTCCTGCAGGGCCCAAGATGACCAAGGTCTTTCACCCTGGTTTCTAAACTGTTGACTAGTTGTACAACCCTTTATCAGATACAAAAATCATTCTCAGAACTCCTACAGCTAGACAGATCAAAGCAGAACTGGGACAGGGAGGGGGCTTCAGAGATTCCTGCAGCTTACTTGTCTTTCAGATGCCCTTAGGAACTCTGAAAACCTCTGGCCAGAGAGAGGTCAGTCAACAGGGAGTTAGACCACCCCCATATCACCCAGGCCTGAGGAGGCCCCCCTACCCAGCTTACCATTATAATGGCAGTCAGAGTCATCTTTTGGGCAAATTGAAAGTCCTCCAAGACCTTGAGGTTGATGGCATTGGTAACCTGCACAACACTCTTCATGAAGGCCATTTTGAGAAAGGTGTCCTGTGGCCAGAAGAAGGAAAGGAGAGCACGTTTGTGAGAGCTCCCCAAAGAACACCAGCTACAGCCCCTGCTCCTAGACACTCCCTTTGCTCTGAAGAAAGGGTTCCATGTCAGGAGCACTCTGAGAGGCGATCAGCCTCACTCTGTTCTCCAATCACACTGACTGAACATTGTCACAGGGACAAGACACAGCACCTAGGTCCCCATAGAAGATGCCACCTCCACTAAGCCTCCAACGACTGTCAAAGTGCAGTAAAGCTCCTTCAGTGACCAAGGGCTCTGTGTCACCAGAGAGGCAGAATATGTTATTGAGGAAAAAATATTTTGGCTTTTACATGGATGAACCCTGGGGACATCATGCTGAGTGAAATAAGCCAGACACAAAGGGACAACTATTGCATGATTCCACTTATATGAGGTACCAGGAGTAGCCAAATTCATACAGATAGAAGTTGGAATGGTGGTTGCCAGGAGATGGGCGGAGAAGGGAATGGGGAAATCATATTTAATGGAGATAGCGTTTCAGTTTTGCAAGATAAGGAATTCTAGAGACAGATGGCAGTGACGGCTATACAACAATGTGACTGTACTGAATGCCACTGAATTGTATACTTAAAAATGGTTATGATGGTACACTTCACATTATGTGTATTTTACCAGTTTTTAAAAATAAAAATATAATAATTTCTGCTTTATTCTTGATGTTTTCTCCTTCTCGACATTCCATGTAGCTAGTCCCTTTGTGCCTCTTTGAAGACAACCCTATTTCTTGTCTTTTGTAAAAGGGCCTGGGTGAGGTGTCAGAGGGCTAGAGGCGAGGGCAGAGGAAGTGGGAGAGGGTTAGAAGAAAGGTGGGGCTCATCTTGTGACTTCTGGGGACCCACGCTCAGTCTACCCAGCTCTTGGGGAGGGGCTGATCTCACCCCCCTGCATGACACCAAAACACAGAAAACAGCGTGTCTGGGCAACGGTTTACCGAGATCTAGATGTCAGGTAGGACTCCTGGATGTCTTCTGGGTGGGAATGTGAGTGCCCAGACAGTGATGAAGGGTGACTCTCCACCAGCCTGGCTTAGGAAGACATCCCCCCGGGCAGCAGATGGGGGCTACCTGGCAGCTGCTGGTGTAGTGGTGAATGATCTTAGCAGTGATGGGGCTGTCCACATGGTTAAGGAGCATCTGGGGATGGCAGTACGAGGCCACGCAGCTGTACATCACCATAAGGGCGCTCTTCACTGTCTCCCGCCTCCAGGGGTGGTCCTTCTGCCAGGTCAATGAGAAGGAGAAGAACCACTGCAGGGAGCAGAGGCTGCCTCAGCTGCATGTAGGACCATCTCTGGCCACCTGACCAAGAAGCCATTGAGTTGGCGACTGGTGCTGGCTCACACCAGGTACTGGGCATGCAGTGGAGCAAGACAGACTGGGGACCAGCCCCCGGGGGGATCACACATCAGCTCTGAGCAGGAGGTCCATGTGGATACCCCTAAACAGAGGCTGCTTGCACATTCCATGTCTTCGCCTGCAGGCACATGTTCTGGAGAAGATGCCCACGAGGATAGGTGTAGGGGGAAACGACAACCTCAGTCCCATCCTCCTGGTGCTCACATTCTCTGAGTGGAAGGAGGCATTGGAGACCACCAAACCCACTGTGGACAGGGAGCAGGGGCACCTATGTCCCATCAGGCCATGAGTAGAAATCTAAGTGACAGGTCTTCTTTCCAGAGAAGCTGGGGCAGAAGTCTGTGATACTCCATCCAAATAACCAGACCCCAGGGCAAGGATCCTATGTCAAGGACAATGTCTGAAGCACAACAACCCCAGATGGTTTTTCACTGGGGGTTCGGCCAGCCTGGGGGACCAGTCCCTGTGGTAGGCAAGGGCAGCCTCCAGAGGATGAGGCCATGGGCTACCTAGGTCCAAATCCTGGCTTTACCACTGACCATCCACATGCTGTGGAACAAGCTTCATACAATGGTGGGATTATAGCCTCTCCATCCTAGCACCATCCATTTACTGAGGCAGAGCTCCCAACATGTGGGAAGCACCTACCAAGTACTTCCTGACAGCTTCTTCAGATACTGTGGGTCTAGAGGGAGCCTCATACTCTGCATCCCAAACAGCACCCCAGGCAGACCCTGCTGCTGCTCTGAGGACCCCACTATGAGTAGCAAGGAGCTAGGACACTTTGACACTATTTGGGTCCTGGAACTGCTCATCCAGTATTCTTGAGATGATCCAACAGCAAAAATGCCGGCAGAGAAGGCCTCAGACTGAAGTCTCAGAATGAGACATTTTGATGACAGGAGACATGGAAGAGGAGTTCCCTACTGAGATCTAGTAAAGGCCTTGGGTAGGTGCCAAGAGCCCTGTGCTGAGAGGCTCCAGAGACCTAGTTGTGGAGCAAGGGAGCCTTACCCGCCAAGCACCGATCTGCCAGGATTGCTCTGACTCCTGGATCCTCTCCTCAAAGTCATGAAGCACGCTCAATACTGTCTTCACCTGGCCCCGGGCGCATAGGCCAAAGCACAGAATCACACCCTATAGGGAGACCCAGCCATTCAGGGTGAGGGCAGGGGACAGAGGAGGAACCCACACACATACAGCGCACAGCCACACACACATATCCCAAGGAGCCAGAGGGGTCTGGTGGACAGGAGGGGGCTGGGGGCTCCCTCACCTCCCTGTCAAAGTCATTATCGTAGTCTGTCTTGTACAGCAGATCCAGCAGCAGAACTTCCACCTTGCTGGCCTCCAGGCCTGTGGCCAAGGTGAAGCCCAAGGCCCGGTACAGAAAGCCCTGGAGAGGAAGGAGGAAGGAAGAAGCTCAGGCCTCCCTACTCCCATTCTCCAGGGCACCCCAACATGGAGAGTTTGCTACATATTCCTCAAGACTCCATTTCTAAAATGTGCAGACATCTCTGCATTTTGTGTATTCTTTAAAATAAATATTCCCATTACTCTGGGGGGATCAGACTATATAAGCGCAGGCATGTTATACATGCTAGTAGGGGCCAAATTCCTCTCCTATGTAAGTTGAACCAACGTACACTCCCTCCAAGAAATTTAAGAGCACCAATTTTTCCACATCCTTCCTGACACAGGTTACTATCAGCGAGAGGTGGAAAATTCTGATTTTGATGTGTTTCTCTGATCATTAGCCATATTGATCATCTTTCCATATTCTCATGTTTCATTTTAATTCTTTGTATTTCTGGCTATATGCTTTTTTCAATTTTGTGTGGGGTTTTTTTTTTTTCCTATTTTTTTACTTGTAAGAGTTGTGTTTTTGTACCTGGAAGCATAACGAGAACAATCATGTATTATCTCATTTAATTCTACCAACAACTTTTTAAGGTAAAAAGTATTATTGTATTTAGAGATGAGAAAGCAATCAGGAAGTAGTATAACGACACAGAAAATGTTAATATTCATAAAGTTAAGTTTATTTCTTTTCCTTTGTCTTGTTTTTCCTTGTGTATAAGAAAGATAATTCCATGATAAGATTATAAAGATTGTTCCATGGTTTTATTTCATTTTGTCTACTTAAATCTTTGGTTTGTTCTGGAATAACAAATCCTTCCTTACTATGCTTCTTTTTCCATATGTTCTTAGCTATTTTCTCATTCAATGAGAATGGAATTGGAAATAATCTTGTCAAAGTTTATAAAATTGTCAAATTTCTATAAACACTCCTTAAGAAACTTAACTGGGAGTATACTGTATTGAAGATTAACTTGAGAAAAATGAACACTATTAGCACATTGAAATTTTCTATCCAAGAACAAAGAGATTGTGTCTATTTTTTCAGGTTTTCTTTTCATATTCCTGCCCCTCTCATAATTTTGTATTTTTCCTATTGAGTCCATCTATTTCACATATTCAATATTTTATTTGCTTTATATGCTTTCCATTGTGTTGCTTCTTTGAGCAGCACCTTTTGCATTGTATTTTATTTGTGGTGTTATTTGTATATACAAAAGATAACAATTTCGGGAAAAGGCTGGCTCTATCTACTGAATTTACAAGTCAGAGATACCTGGTAGCCATCCTGCACCCCAACCTATCACCAAAGGTGCAAGCCTCAGAGGTGAAGAGTTGGAGAGGGTCCTGATGACATTCCTTAAGCTGCTACATCTAATACCTTTTAAAGATATCTGCTGCATCAGATACCTTTTAAAGGAAACTGAACCAATAAAATCCTTTTTAAAAATTCATTTATTATCTTGCCTAAGCTAGATGAGTTATTCTAATGTGGTTGAATTGTATGCATTTACTTATTAGACACTATATACAACTTTCTTCCAAATGGGCCTTAAATCGACATCTGAGACCTTATACTTAACAGATTTATAAGATACACTTTGCTATTTATTATTTTATATACTTAACTAGGAAAGGTATATATTCAAACAAATGTAATTTTTAGTTGACACCTTTAAGATCAGCTACATTATTAAAATCTTTGCTGAGATATAATTCACATAGCATAAACTTGCCCATTTAAAGTGTGCACGTTCAGTGGCATATCCAGGGTTGTGCAACCATCATCACAGTCTAAGTTTACAACATTTTTACCATCCCCCAAAGAAACTCCATACCCATTTGCAGTCAGTTCACATTCCCCCAGCCTCTAACAACCTCGAACCTACTTTCTGTCCCTGTGGATTTGCCTATTCTGGGCATTTCATATAAACAGAATTACATGTGGTCACCTTTGTTCCTTGGCATCTGGCTTCATTCACTTAGCACTGAACGTTTTTCAAGGTTCATACAAGTTATAGCCTGCATTATTACTTCCTTTCTTTGCCTGAAAAATATTCCACTGTATGGATACACCACATTTTTTTATCCATTCATCCATCTGTGAACACGTGGGCTGTTTCCACCTTGGGGCTATTATGAATAATGCTGCTATGAACATTTGTACTTTTGTGCGGACATAGATTTTCATTTCTCCTGGAATTTCTAGCTCATATGGTAACCGTGGAAGACAGGGGTAACTTTACCTTAAATGCTAATCTGACGTGTGACTTCTGACTTACCCAGAGTCTGGGAATGCCTTCAAAATGTCTAGTTGATATATTATTCTTTATAGTAGAAATGCTCATTCCGTTTCTCCTTCCCTCCAGAACAGCCCTTGATGTTGTATATATCATAGGCTGTGACATCCATAGTCACCTGCATATTACTTCTAAAGCATGTCTATTTTTCCCCAATATATAAGCCCTGGGTCTGGGGACTTGCAGTGCAGAGCTCTATCAGTTTTGCAGTCACTTAAGATGACGCTCTGTCTGTAAGTTCCATTAATAAACCACACTATATGGACAAACTAAATGTGTCTGCCTCCTTCTTTGGTTTCTCAGTCCCATAAGCATTTGGGAGCTGCTTTGTAGATGCAACCCTTTCACACAATTGTAACTAGATATTTAACATTTTGAGGAAATGCTAAACTTTTCCAAAAGAGCTCACTATTTTACTTTCCCACCTGCTGTATACAAGGGTGTGGGTTTTAATTTTGTCACACCCTTGCCAACATCTGTTATTATCAATCTTTTTTATTTTAGTCATTCTAGAGTATATGAAGTGGCATTGCATTGTGGTTTTTATTTGCATTTCCCTAATGGTAATCATCTTGGACATTTTTTAATGTACTTACTTCTCATGTGTGTGTCTTCTTTGAAAAAAATGCCTATTTGTACCATTTGCCCATTTTTTTTTTTTTTTTTTTTTTTTGAGTTGGAGTCTCACTCTGTCGCCCAGACCTGCTGGGCTCCGGTGATCCTTCCGCCTCAGCCTTCCAAGTAGCCTGAATTACAGGCCTGCGCTACCAAGCCCGGCTGATTTTTTGATTTATTGTAGAGATGAGGTCTCGCTGTCCAGGCGGGTCTCGAACCCGCAGGCTCAGGCAATCCACTCACCTCAGCCTCCCAAAGGCGCGGGATTACAGGCTGAGCCACCGAGCCCGGCTCATTTGCCCATCTTAACTGGCATATTTGTCTTTTTTACTAATGAATTGTAATATATAGATAGATACATACATATATAAAAGTCCCTTATCAGATATACATGATTTTCAAATACTTTCTCTCATTCTGTGGGTTGCTTTTTCACTTTCTTGATGGTATTATCTTCAACAAGAGAGGTTTTAATTTTTATGATGTCCAATTCATCTATTTTTCTTTGGCCACTTGAGCTTTTTGGAGTCATAACTAAAGGATTTGCCAACCCGAGGTCACAAAGATTTTCCCTATGTTTTCTTTCTTTCTTCCTTTCCTTCCTTTCTTTTTTGACAAAGCAGGATTTATTGAGAGGACAGTAAAACTCCCAAAGTGGGAGGGGACCCATGGGGGTTGCCCTCCCCTATGCTTTCTTATAAGAGTTTTATAATTTTATCTCTTTTCCTTAGGTCTAGGATTCCCTTTGATTTAATTTTTATGTATGGTGTGAGAAAGGAGTTCAGTTTCATTCTACTGTATGTGGATATCTAGTTATCTTAGTACCATTTGTTGAAAAGGTTATTCTTTCCCCCACTGAATTGTCTTGGCACCCTTGTTGAAAATCAGTTGACCACAGGCCAGGCATGGTAGCTCAGCCTGTACTCCCAGCATTTAGGGAGGCCAAGGCGAGAGGATTGCCTGAGCCAGGGGTTCAGGATCAGCCTGGGCAACTTGACCTTATCTCTACAATAAATCACAAAAACTAGCTGGGTATGGTGGCATGCATCTGTAGTTCTAGCCACTTGGAAGGCTGAGGTGGAAGATTGCCTAAGCCTAGCAGGTTGAGGCTGCGGTGGCCGTGAACCTGGGCGACTAGAGTGAGACTCCAATTCCAAAAACAGAAAATCAGTTGACCATAAATGTGAGGGCTTATTTCTGGATACTGTTTTATTCCATCAGTCTATATGTCTATCTTTATGCCAGTACTACTCTGTCTTGTTTACTGTAATTTGTGTAAGAAGTCTTGAAATTGGCAAATGTGAGTCCTCCAGCTTTTTTATTTTTTTAATCATAACTGTGTTGGTTATTTTAAGCCTTTTGTATTTCCATATGAATTTTAGGATCAGTTTATAAATCTGTGGAAAAAAAAGAACCAAGTGGGATTATGATGGGCTCATGCTGAAACTGAAGATAAATTTGGGAAGTATCACCATTTGACCTATATTATCTTTCAGTTCATGAACATGGTATGTTTCCTATTTATTGGGACCTTCTCTGATTGTTTTCAACAATGTTTTATAGTTTTGTAAACAGAAAGGTTTTTACAAAAAAAATGCCTATATGATCACAAACCAGAATCTAAAGGATCAAAAAACTAACACCACTTGTCTAGACCACCCATCTCTCCTTCCAGGACCCAGTAAACAGCCACAGGTCCAGGCTGATCTTACACACACACACAGTACGATTCTGTCCATTTCATCCCCCCTGAAGTCCCCTCCCGGTCTGAACTGCCCTGTTCCTGTGAAGACGAACCTTCTCCAGAGAGGGGCTATCAAAGCTTTCAAACTGGTTTCTCAGTTCTTTGCTCAGACGCAGGCTCCAGCTGGACCCCTGGGTCTTCTTGACGGAGTTTCTCAGAAACTGGGGAGGCAAAAGACATTGGTGAATGGGGCTGAGGGCCCCCAGCCCTGTTCTCACTTAGGCTCTGAGAATGCTGTGTGACCCTGAGTAATCACTTGCCTTCTCTGGCTTCCTTTTTTCTACATTTTAGGATTACTCAGTTCATAGAACCCTGATCCAGTGCTACTGTTGTGAGGGTCTGGGATTGACTGTGGCTCTGGGAGCTGGTAGGAGGGGTATGCTCCCTGCTGCTTCCCTGGGCACGTGGATTTCCATGGTGGGAGGCTCACTCAGTTTCCCCTGCTGATAGATACAGCTATGGACTTCATGTCCTTTCAGGGCTTCTAAACTCCTCACATGCCAACCCCACCAAATGCCTTTCCATTCACTTCCCATCTTTCTCCCCCACCCAAGCCCCCACAAACGGGTGACCTCTTTACCTGAATTAGCTTGTCCTCCCAGGCCTTCTGATTCCAAGTAAACTCGGTATGCTCTGCAGGAATGGATGTGTGGTCACACCTGCTGCTTCCTTCTGCTGCTCCCTCTGGGTCAGCCTCCCTAGCCTGGCCTCAAGGCCCACCACAGATAAACCACCACACGCTTCACTTCTCTCCCCACCTCCCCTAGCTGCTAGGCCAATTCTCAGGACCAAAGTAGGCCGTGTGGGTCCACTGTGAGCCTCGGCTCTCATTCAGACCGTGTGGTTAGGACCCCGGCACATACACAGAGTGAAGGAATGGCTTGGGGTGGGTACCCAGGGCACCTCACCTTCCAGGTACTGGACCAGCAATGGGATCTCCAGCTCCCACATGTCAGCCATGCAGGGAGCGATGCTCTGGCTCAGGGTCCTCAGGAGGTTGAGCATGGCGATCCCGCGGCCCTCCCCCTTGTAGGGTGATGACATCAGCACCTGGAGGGCATCAAGACTCTAGTGGAGGAGGGCCCGGGGAACCTCACTCCCTGTCTTGGAGCTCACTGTCCTCACTTGTAAAAGGAGGAGCTGGGCAAGAGGGGTGGCTTTGCAACACAGATTTTGAAACAGATGCTGCAGGAAGGAAAGGGGCTAAGGGGCCAGATTGGGTTCCTTTCCCACCATAGGTTTCAGTGGAGTATGGATTTGTGCCCACAGTTAACATGAAGAAGAGGACTTGTGGGTTCTGGACTGAGCCCGCCCCCAGGGGCAGGCAGGCCATGGCTGTGTCCTGGGCATGCTTTGGGCAGAGGAGTCGAGGAGCAGGTCCAGGCCAGCTCCTTGGCTACTCTGAGCACACTACCCCTGCCACCTCTACCCAAGAAGAATGATGGGGACATGAAACCCTCTCTCCTGCCCAGCGTCCAACTCCCTTGTTTTACCCTGGGTCCCTGCTACCCCTGGAGTTTGAGAATTGGGAGCTCAAGGGAGAGGTACTGAAAAGCATGGCCTCACCGGCCAGAGCACAGTACAGGTCAGTCACTCACCAGGAGACGGGCTAGCAGCTTCTGAGGCGCAGGCAGGTCCACTGAGAAAGAAGGAAATGCCATTCTAACTGAGGCTGCCCAGCCCATAACCACACATCCCCCCTCCTCTCTGTTCCCCCATACCCTGAGGGGAACTTTATCCTAGAAGATACATCCTTGACACAATCTCATTTCCCCACAAGAATGGAGGATGTATTGGCACCGGGGAGTTTTCTATAAACAACATCATTACAATGGACTTCTCCTGGGAAGCAGGGAGAATCGTGCCAGTGGGCCGGGGTTTAGAAGTTGCCGTTCAGGTCAAGGCCATTTTGTAGTGAATCCCAGGACTAGCCATAACAATGTTTTGTCTCCTGCTGTGAACCTTGGCCTAAACCAAGGGTAATTAGACACCACTCTCCCTCCCCCTCCTATCTCTACAGGCTTTGGGAGTTAAGGAACCCCATGAAAAGCAACCCTACAGTGCTTAGATGAATGAGCAAGGGAGAGGCTAGTCCTGCTGAGGAGCTGCTGGTGCAGGGCCCAGGGAGGACTCAGCCCAGATTCAGGGGTGCGAGGGGCATGAGGAAGACCTCAAAGTGCATTCAGATCAGACTCAGTGAACAGAGTTTGCCCTTTGCCATCCCTGGGTCCTAAAGACCTCCCCAATCACCTCCATCACCAACCATGCCCACCCCTGTGAAGTCACTGGCTGGTGAGAGGAGCCTCCCTGGAGCCAGAAGTGGGGAGCGGGGACAGCAAGCCAACATGATAGTGGGCATAATCACTTTTTTGAGAGCCAAGTGTTAACAGTGCCCACTCTGGTGGACCACACCGCGATGGGGATGTTCTACAAAGCACTCATAGGAGATGAATATAGTTATTCTAGCTGGTTCAGAGAGCTCAGGCAGAGCAGAGACCCAGAAAGGTCACACCTGGAGAGAGGCCGGGCCAGGAGCTCCCCAGGGTGAGGTCTGGGGGTGTGGGCTGGGAGGATGGAGAAATGAGAAGTGAGATACCAGAAGGAAGTTTGTACGATGTTAATATCTCCTCAGATTTGAAAAGGGTTGGCATGAACAGCCAGGTTTAGCCTGGCTATTTGGATTCCAAATGCTTCCAGGAGAAGGGCGAGTGAAGACTGTAGGGAGGGCTGAACATTCATAAACAAGGCGCCTGCCCACCTGCCCAAGCCCACCAGCTGGCACAGGGATGCTGCCCACCTTGGCTACTCCCGCCGGCCGTGCTGGCCTCTGCGTCCTGGTCATGGAGCTGACGTTCTGCAAGGTTTGTGAGGCTGACACAGATGGGGGTCAAGGCCTCCATGTAGTCTGTCTCCATGATGTAGCACAGAAGCCTCACCCAAAACTCCTGGGGTGGGGGTGGGGGAGAACAGGAGCCCCGGATTAGCTGGGGGCATCCTGCCCACCTAAGGAGAGCAGTCAGGCTCCATCCACAGCGCCAGCCCCATAGGACTTTCCCTAGACAGTCTCAGTCCTGAATGAGCTCCACTGACAACCCTGGTCTTTGTTGAGGGCATTTAAGTGGCACCCGCACTGATAGGGCAAGAGAGTCAGTCAAGCCCCTGCTGGGCCTGGCTGGCATTCTGTCCAACCCCCATCCCTGCAGGCCTCGTACCAACCTCACACTCATTACATCCTCCTCATCCAGAGGCCCCACTCTGGTCCCAAGTTCTCTAGAAGTGAACTTTGGGCAGATGACCCAGCTGTGCATGCTGGTTGCAATGATCAGTTTTATGGTCAACTTGTCTAGGCAAGAATGCCCAGTAATTTGATAAAACACTAATCTAGGTGTTGCTGTGAAGGTGTCCTGCAGATGTGATGAAAGTCTAAATTCCGTAAGGGAGATATCCTCAACAACATGGGTGAGTCTCATCCAGTCAAGTTGAAAGGCCTTAAGAGCAAAAAATGGACATTTCCCCTGGGAAGAAGATATTCTGCCTCAAGACCAGTATCAGCTGCTGCCCAGGTTTCCAGTCTGCAGTCCTGTCTTCAGGCCCCAGCCTTTGATACAGGTTTCAGACTTGCCTGTTTCCACAATTGCAAGAGTTAATTCCTTGAAATGAATAAGACGATATATATTTTCTACTGGCTCAGTTTCTCTGGAGAACTCTGATAGAGATTCCTGGAGCTGTGTCTCAAGCCCTCTGACTTCACTGCACCATCTCCTCTCTCTGTGGGTGACTGTTCAATACCCACTTCACCCAACCCCCAACCCCAGGAGTTTAGGGTGAGACTCTTGAGCTACCAATGAACAAATGCAGTAGCTTAACCTGTTTCAGCCTCCAGAACTAGAATCTCTCAGCTCTTGGGTTCCCCCATTTAGTAGCAGTGAATTGGAAAGGACATTTCAATCCTGGCTCTGTGTTTACCAGCTGTGAGACACTGAGCAAATTAATGCATCCCTCTGAGCCTTAGTTTCTTCAGCTACAAGATCAGGGTAATAAAATAAGACAGCCTACCTCATAGGGTTGTTGGGATAATTAAATGAGATTATATGTGTTGTATACCTAGTACAGAATCTGCTATGTGTAGGTAATACATGGACTGCAGCTTTGATTATTGTTCTCATTATTTCTACAATTAAAATAAGTTGCAACTGGACAGAGATCACTTAGCCTATGGCCTCACTTAGTGGATAATCATTCCCTTGTTGGTGTTTTCATGGTAAATTTTTCCTACCTTATTGTTATGTCACATTTTACTGCAATTAAAAATTGACACATTTGTTTCTCCCATAACCTGAGAACTCCTTAGGGTCATACTGAGTCCTCCTAATGCACACTCCCAAGCCTTTCACATAGCAGAAACTCAAATGTGTGAATTAAATCATGACTTTTTTCTTTATATACATACACACCTAAATTAAAGGGGTTCTAAAGTAATGGACACATTTCAGGCAATAAGTCAGGTGACATGTATTGAAACTCACTATGTGCTATGTCCTGTCCCAGCTGCTGGGGATACAGAAATGAAGAGTAAGTTTCCATCAAAGACCCAGCTCTGGAACTGAATATTGAATTTCTACTAGCAACTAGAAGAAGAAAGTCCCCAAGAACCCCAGACAGAAGGACTGAAAGAAGCAAAGTTCAGAGTTCTGGGCGTGCTTGGTTCCCGCAAATCCTGATGCAGTACAAACAGGAGCTCCAGCATGGTGACCTACTGGGTGGGTGGAGTAGAGTTACTCACGTTGGCCATTCCACTGACAGAAGAAGTTATGATCTTCACAGTGTCCATGGTGACTTTGTGAACCATCTTCTCCTCTAAATCCCTCAGATAAAAGCTCTCCCGGCGATTTGTCTGGAAGATAGAACCGAGGGGTTCCCATGTGTGGGATGGCAGGGGCTTGCAGTGGTCCCAGGTGTGGCAGCCCAGATACTGGGTCTCCAGAACGCTCAGAGTTGTGCATGTGTCTTTTGCTCATAGGACTGCACACATCTTCACCTGCAGGTCTACTGCATATCTATGTACTTCATCATGAACCTATGTGCAGGTCCAACACAGGTAAACCGTGAGGCATTCTTGCCTCAGCACTTTGGAAACCATTTACAAAGTCCAGCTGCTCCATGGTCTGCAAGTTGGGGTCACTCACCAGTTTGTAGGTGGATAAGGTCAGCTGAACAGACACATACTTCAGGCCCCAGCCTTTGATCCTCTCTTGGTAGCCAGACAGAACCAACTGGCCAATGATGCGGAGAATAGCCATTCTCACCTGAGAGGACAAGGCAGTGGATATTCTGGGGGTTGGGTTGGGTTCCAGGTCACCCAATCCTGTGGCACGAGACAGCTAGGAATTGAGCACGCTCTGTGTTGAAAGGGGCCTCAGAGGCCACTTGGCAATTGCCCACTCTGTCCACCAGCCTGACTCATCCAGTGGGTGTCCCACTCTGCACTCTGCCTACCTGGGAGCCTTATTTGAGCCCTGCAGAGACACGGAGCCCTCTCCCTTCATCTTAGCATCCCTGACGAGGAAAACTCATCTCTTATCCTGGGCTCCCTGGGACTCACTCTGGCAAGACTCACATGTGTGTGTATGTGTGTGTGTGGAGGTGGGGGGCAGTGTTAGATAGCCAAACAAGCCTTTTCTCTCTTCCCTCCACAGCCTCCAGGTATTGGAGACAGTTCTGCCTAAATCTCCAGTCCAAATTCCCTTCCATTCCCTCTCCCATTTCCTGTGGAACCAGAGTTACACTCCAAGGTGGCCATGGCTGCTGTGGAGGCCAGGACTGTGGTTTTCAGGCTTTTGGGGGAGGTGTGGAGATGTATCCCTCAGTTGCCTTTTTCTTTTTTTTTTTTTTGAGTTGGAGTCTCACTCTGTCGCCCAGACTAGAGTGCAGTGGCCGCTCCCGGCCACCGCAGCCTCGACCTGCTGGGCTCCGGCGATCCTTCCACCTCAGCCTTCCGAGTAACCGGAATTACAGGCATGCGCTACCACACTTGGTTGATTTTTTGATTTATTGTAGAGATGAGGTCTTGCCTGCCCAGGCGGGTCTCGAACCCACGGGCTCAGGCAATTCACTCACCTCAGCCTCCCAAAGGCGCGGGATTACAGGCTGAGCGACCAAGCCCAGCTTGCCTTTTTCACATGCAACACAGACCTTACAAAACCTCTTAGCAGCCAAGCGGCTCTCACTGAAGCTAGGTTTGCTCGCCTCTCTTCTGTCCTATGTAGTACCTGAGACACATCACTTGAAAACTCCAGATGCTGGATGAGAATGAAGATCCCAAGAGTGGAACCTCAGCTTTCACTGCACTGTTGTTCCACTCAGGACTAGCCGAGAAGTGAGGTGTTCTTCCAAAGGCTCCCAAAGCATAGCCCCACAGAGGTGGATGGGCAGCCAAGGCCACCCGCCTGGACTTCCCTTTACCTCCCTGGCAGGGTGCCCTGAGCACCATCCCTTTCCAGATCTCTACTCCATTACCTTGGATCGAGTATCAGAGAGGGTGTTCTTGACTACCCGGATGGCCAGGTAGATGGTTCTGATATTCATCCTGGGATCTGGAAGAGGAAAACCGACCTGGAGGGCTATGGTTCGGTGGGACGTCAGGTGGCTCGTCCCACATCAAGGCATCACATTGTTTTTCCGCCAACATTCCCCAAGCTCAGGAGCACTTTCTTAGGAGCCTCCCTGGCCAGGTTGTCCCTGACCAGCTCCCTCTGAAACCAGCGCAATTTTCCAACAAACTGAGGCTGAGAGAACTGAAGCTTGAGAAGTTTGTGTACAATGCAACAACACCTGCTGCCTGTTGACCAGCTCCTCTTCCTTACTTTTCCCTGCCTGTTTTCCCACATGTGGTTACAATGAAACCCCCTCATTCAACCACCACCTGCTGCCGATTGGCCAACTCCTCTTCCTTGTCATTCCTGTTTTCCTTCCCTGCTAAACAAACCTTTAGCTTAGGGTGAGGGGCGGGACAGATCTGAGGCTTGGCTTCCATCTCTACAGCTGATGTCACCTGTAAAATAATAAAACTTTCTTCCCTGGCAATACTTGTCTCAGTGATTGGCTTTCTATGCATAGAGCAATGGTACCTAGACCAAACCCTTGGCGTTTGGTAACATCTCCCTTCTCAACGGCTGCAGCAGCACCCTCCCCGCTGGCCTGAGGCGGGGGTTGGTTTTACACCTCACTCCCTTGGCCGCTGCTTTGTGTGTGTCTCATTTGAACCTGAGTAGACTCCGCCTAAAAGTTCTTTAGTGCCCCCCAACTGGAAACACAGCAAAGGCTGCAAAGCACAGGTGTGAACAACGTGGGTCCTGGTGCCAGGCTGCCTGGGTTCAAATCCTTGCTCCACCACATCCCAGCTGTGTGACCTCAGGTAAATTACTCAGCCCCTCTCTGCCTCCGTTTCCTCACCTATAAAATGTGTATAATAAAATGCCTCCTTCACAGAGCTACCATGAGCAGTAAATGAATTAACATGGTGCCTGGCACAACATGAGGGCTAGGTGAGTGTTTGCTAGTCCTACAAGTGATGGCAGCCACGCTGTCAAAGAAGCATAAAGGTTTAGGGAGGTAAGAAAGAGTCACGAGAAGGTTCTGGAGCAATCTGGTATGGATGGAGGTAGAGTTAGGTGTTCAGGTTGATACTGTGCTCATGCTAGGGTAGGAAAAAGAGGAAATGAGAACAGGTAGGAAGCAGCAGGTAATCAGGCACTAAGAAAGGATGGTACTTTTTTTGATCAAAAGTTTAGAGTTTTGATCTCCGAGATGGGAACTTTATTTCTGACTATAAAAATAGTATATGATCATTGCATAATTTAAAAATAATCACTCTTAATAGGTTAGGTGTGTCCTTCTAAACCTATTTATGCATAATAATTATAGATTTATTTTATGTAACTGAGTTTATGCTATAAATACTACACCCTCTTTAATGCCTGCATAATATTCCATTGTGATGATCTATTGTTTATTCCACAAATTCCCTATATTTAGGCTGTTTCTAATGTTTTGCTCTTAGCACAATGTTATAATGAACATCTTTGTCCTTTGGGCAATTGTTTCCTTCAGGCAACTGACAAAATGTTGAATTGTTAAGCCCAAGTTTTGGTCCCTATCCAATTGGGCACCCAGTATTGTTCATCGATTTAAGGATTAATCACCCAAGTAGGTTGCATGCAGGTGAATTTTGGGCCTCCAACTGGCCCTCGCTCCCCCTGGCATAGGACCAGGTACCCTTTGTGTTGTTACGTGCCTTCCCCCCACCTCTCATGGCCTCTGTCAATAAAATGTCAAAGGCTGGTTTCTTGTTACCACAGACCATGGATGAGCTAAGTCTAGCCTGCAGGCTAAATCCAGCCCAAAGTCTGTTTTTGAAAATAAGATTTTGTAAGGATGGCTATCATTAATAAATCAAAAAACAACAGATACTAGCACGGGTGCAGAGAAAAGGGTAAGCTTCTATACTGTTGGTGGGAGTGCAAGCCAGTTCAGTCTCTATGGAAAGCAGTGTGGCCATGCCTAAAAGAACTAAAAATTGGCCTTCTATACACTCCAGCAATCCCTCTCCTAGGAATATATGGGGAGGAACAAACATCATTCTACCATAAAGACACCTGCATACGCGTTTATTGTTGCACTATCCACGATAGCAAAAAAAAAGGAACAAACCTTACTGCCTATTGAAAGTAGAATGGATAAAGAAAATGTGGTACATATACCTGATGAAATATTATGCAGCCATGAAGAAGAACAAAATCATGGACTTTGCAGCACTTTGGTTGGAGTTGGAGACCACCATACTTAGTGATCTATCACAGAAACAAAGAACTGCAAACCCCATGTTTTCACTCATAAATGGGACCTGAACATTAACCATGTTAGCACAAGGAAGGGATCAGCAGTCACTGGCCACTGCCATGAGAGGAGGGGGGAGGGTGGGGAGGGCACGTAACAACACAAAGGGTACGTGGTTCTATGCCACGGGGAGTGAAGGCCAGTTGGAGACCTAAAACTCACCCTGCATGCAACCTACTTGTGTGATTAATCCTTACTTGTACCCCACATCTCTATAATAAAATAAAGTTTAATTTAAAAAAAGAAAATAAGATTTAATTGGAACATAGCTACACATAGCAGTCTATGGCTGCTTTTGCTCTCCAGTGGCAAAATTGGATAATTGTCATAGAAACTATATGGCCTGCAAAGTCAAAAATATCTTTACTATCTAGCTTCTTATAGAAAAATGGCCCAAATTCTAGCCATTATCTTTAACATCTGTGTTCATTAGATAAGTAAAAAGGACCTCAATGTAATTTAAATTTGAATTTATTTGAGAGTGAGGTTTAATGCCAGTGGAAGGTTATTTATATACAGTTGTCCAATGTGTGCACTACACAAAGGCACCTGACTTTAGGGATGAGTGGGAGCTGCCCATGTTCTTCAAACCATTATACACCTGCAGAGCTACATGCTGCCAACCAGAAGCACCTTGTTCAAAGTCACACAAAGGAGCAGTATGGGCTAGTGTAGGCATGTCCAACCTGGGGCCCATGGGCCACATGATGCCCAAGACAGCTAGTAATGTGACATCTTTCAACATCATGTGTTTTTTAGCATTTATTTTCTTCATGACCCCATGTGTAGTTCCATTTTTGAAGCTCACAATCACGCCTTATTGATGACATCATTTTTTGACAGCACAAACATTAATTATGAAGCACACAAAGAGCAAAATTTGAACATACATTCCTGACAAGCACCTTGAGAGCTCACTAAGAATTGCAACAACCTTCACTGAACCAGACGTTGATAGATTAGTTTTACAAAAACAAGGTCAAATTTCCCATTAGTTTTATATTGTTCTCATCTTTCTAAACTTTATAATAAAATATATTTTAAAGAGAAGTCTTATTATGTATATACACTATATTATATAACTTACGTGTGGCCCAAGACAATTCCTCTTTACTCGGTGTGGCCCAAGGAAGCCAAAAGGTTGGACACCCATGGGCTAATACCTTGGTAAGGACAGTGATTCCCTTTTGATATCAAGGCCAAGTTTAGAGTTTGGGCTTAGGGACTAGAATCAGGGGTTTAGACTGAGGTTGGACACTGAGGCCAAGAGACTATAGGGTTATATCTGCGTGGTATAGTCAGGCCTTTTATCAGCCTTTGATTTAGCTTTGGAGGTTACTAGTAGGAATCAGGTTAATAGTTTGAAGTTTAGACTCATAGGGGATGGGGAGGGTGGACCACAGTGCTGATTCGGTTCACGGTTAGAGAACATGAAGCACCCAAGAATCATGGCTCCCTGGGCCCACCCAATAGTGTTGTAAAAGGGGAAATGTCAGGTACCCAGACACAGATGAATCCTGTCTCTCCGAAGCCCCACCCTGCTCACCCCACTCACCCCACCTGCCCTGCCTTGCTCACCTTCTGCACTCACCACAGCCCTGATCAGGGTCAGAGTCCCCACCCGGACGACCTCCTTGCTTGTCTCTATCTGGCTGAAGAAGAACTTCATCAACTCCTTGGGGTAGGAGCGAGCTGCAGGTGGAAAGGACGGCTTTAATCATGCCCGCTGGGCCCAGAGCAGGCCCAAAGAAGCAGCCCTGGGCCCAGCACTTAGGGGAGCCAGGACTCCTACAGGCTCCAGCAGACCCGGGGGACAGGCAGGGAGTGCCCCTGTCACGGAGCCTCACCAAGGGCCACGAAGCAGTGCACGATCTCCATCAGGTTCTGGCTGCTATGCTGATGATGGGCCGGGGCCTTGGTGCACACCTGGGAAGGGGGTGGGCATGGAGGGTGAGAGAGGCCACAGGCCAAGGGGTGCACAGGCACAGGGGGCACCAGAGCCTCCCACTTTAGCACGATACAGGAGGCACACGAATGAGTTAGCGGGCAGGCCACCTCCTGCAGGCCACTTCCTGCTGATCTACCCCAAGAACTCCCTGATCCACCCAGCCAAGTTTGTGGGCCTCACCTGGACGTGCAGTTCCGTGAAAATGGTATGTAGCTGCATTGGGGGGATAGGGGTGTTGGTGGTGACTGACACTTCCAGGATCTGTCTCAAGACCTGCAATGGATGGGCAAGTGGTGGAGGTGGCCTTCTACCAACTCAAGCTCAAACTCTGAACCCTTGCTACTCTTGGCCTGCGGTATCAGCATCCCCCGGGAGCTGATTAGAAATTAGTCCCAAGGCCCTACCCTAGACCTGCCAAATCCAAGCCTGAATTTCATGCAGCTCCCAGCTAGTTCCTACGCACAGTGAGGCTTGGGAAGTGCAGCGCAAGGTCTCTGAGCATGGAATTCAAGGCCTTTTTCACCCTGCCCTCCTATGCATCTGAAAGTGAATCCCATTCTTTAGCCAGAATGATCTACAGATGGCTCCTCAAATCAGCTGTGTTCATTTCCACCCCTTGCTTTTATAGGTGAGGCCCACACTCTGTAGACCAGTGACCCCTTTATGCATCTGTCCTGACCATGCCTCCACTTGGAACTCTGCAACGGCTCCATCTTACACAGGGTAAGAGGCTGTTGGGAGTTGACTGGTGTCCTTCCAAAATTCATGCTCACCAGAACCTGAGGATGTGACCTCATTTGGAAATAGACTCTTTGTAGTTGTAATTAGTTCAGAATCTCCAGGCAAGATCATCCTGGGCTTACGGCGAGCTTATACGAAGAGAATACAGAGGAGAAGGCCATGTGACAAAGGCGGAAGAGATCAGAGTGATTCTGCCGCTATCACAGAACATCTGGGGCCACCAAGAGGGAAGAGGTCAGAAAGCTTTCTCCCTTGGAGCCTCCAGAGGGAGCTCAGGCCCTGCTGACACTCTGATTTTGGACTTCTGACCTCGAGAATTATGAGAGCATAAATTTCTGTTATTTTGAGCTGCCTACATGTGGTTCTTTGTTATGGCAAACCTAACAAATGAATACAAAGGCTCCGACCTCACCACAGCCTCCAAGGCCTTTCGGGATCTGGTCCTTTCCACCCGGAATGGCAGTGTCATTTCCCACAAGCCCCATGAGTGCCAGGTTCCACAGCCTCTTTCCAGGGCACAGATGTTGGGTCTGCTGACACGATGTCAAAATATCTGACATCACCTCCCCAACCAGATGATACCTCTTGGACTCTTGAAAACCTTACATTTCCTAGACCTTCTTCCCAAGGTCATGGCCATGTGGCCCTCACCTGTGTGATGAAGAGGGCCTCCAGACTGCCCTGGTACTGCGCCAGCAACAGGGGGATGTAGTCATAGACCTGCTCCCGCAGGTCAATGTTGGGCAGGAGGAGGTTCAGCATGGGTTTCAGGGACCTGATGACCCCCAGCTTCACCTGTCACAGGAAACGGGGTCTTGGATTCATCATCCCAGAACTCCTGCCGCAAGGTCATTGACCTCAGCCCTACCCACAGAATCCAAGGTCACACGACAGAGGGGACCTCAGAAGCAGAGCAAGGTGGGCCATGCGGTGTGGCCAGACTGCTGGGCTTGAGTCCCACTTACCAGCCACGTGACCTTGGTCGGTACTTAAGCTCTCTGTGTCTCAGTTTCCTCATTTTAAAAATAGTCCATCAGCCAGGCTCGGTGGCTCAGCCTGTAATCCCGCGCCTTTGGGAGGCTGAGGTGAGTGGATTGCCTGAGCCCGCGGGTTCGAGACCCGCCTGGGCGGCGAGACCTCATCTCTACAATAAATCAAAAAATCAGCCGGGCATGGTAGCGCATGCCTGTAGTTCCGGTTACTCGGAAGGCTGAGGCAGAAGGATCGCCAGAGCCCAGCAGGTCGAGGCTGCAGTGGCCGGGAGCGGCCACTGCATTCCAGTGTGGGCGACAGAGTGAGACTCCAACTCAAAAAAAAAAAAATAGTCCCTCATAGAGTTGGTATGGAAATATCTCCCACAGGTAACACATACATAGAAAACCCAGCATGTGGCCAGCACTCTCAGAATTATCATTGACTCCCACCCACCCAACCAACAACTCCCTGAGGGCCTTTTTCAAGGCCAGCCTCGTGAAGTGAGGTTCGTGGGTCTAAGCTTTTTAATACACAAATTCCCTAGCTTGGCCATAAGTCAGGTCACCGCCTCCCAAGGGTCCCAGGAATGAGGCTAGACCTGATGATCTCAGCATCTCCCAGCCCCACAGGCCAGGGAGCTGTGACCTGGGAGCCACGGGGCTCTCCTGAGAAGGGTACATCTCACCTCGAGGTTGTGGTGTCTCATCCACACGGTTACAAAGTAGCGAAACATTGGGAACAGCTTCAGGGCAAACTGCTCCTCAGTCATCACAGGGTACACACTGTCCTCCAAGTGCTTCAGGTAAAACTGCACAGTCTCGCAGAAGGTCTCCATGGCTACCAGTGGCAGAGGAGAGATGCGGTTGGTGCCAGAGAGGCCCAAAGCAGAACCGAGCCTCCCTAGCTCACTTTCTCCAGGAGGGAGTACTCCCACATGGCCTTTCCAACTTCTCACAGCTCGCTGGTTTTTACCCAGTATATCTGTGTATGAGAGTTGAGCACTCAGGTGTGTTCAGACCTCTCCCCTTAGAGGACACGGTCAAGGGTAGGGCCTGAAGTATGACTGCCTGCCCACATTCCGGGGATTCCAGTGCAGAGGGCAGTCAGCACCGCTGGCCCTCTTTTTCTTAGGCATCAGCATTTTCTAGCCCATAAAAACATTTAGTAATCACCATCTGGGGCAAGGCGATCAGATTTAAATAGCATCTGAGACCTGCCGAAGTCAAGCCCCAAATGAATACATGTTCCCTAGTCTCCCTCTCCTTTAAATGCCCATAGCCTTTCTCTGGTCTTCTGAAATGCCTAACTACAGAGAGGGCTAAGCAGAGTCACAGTAGGAGCTTCTTCTTTCTAAACTGGGATCTTCTGAAAGGTGCCAACCATGTCTCAGTCCCCTCTCCCTCCAGAGGCCACACAAAGTAGAGCTTGAGCAAATGTTTGGGAACAAATGAGCAGCACACCTCTTGTTCAACAACCTTGCCACTGCTCCTTACCCTGCATTCCCCCTCCGGCACCCTGATCAGGTCAGACTTGCAGGCCCAAGTGGGACACTCACCACTACAGATCACCTGGCGTATCTTGGCTTCATTGGCAAGTCTCAGCATTGTGAATATGGTAGCCAGGGTGATGCCCATGTATGGCATGAACTCAAACACTGTGGGGTCAGGAGGGCGGACGTCACACAGGGAGTTGGGGCCGGAGGTGAGCAGGGAGAAGGCAGAGAGGACAGTCCTGCTGCCTGCCACCTCCAGTCCCTGATGGTCCAGAGCCAGGGAAGCTAGAGCCACAGGAAATAGCGTAGGAGTCACTAAAGCATTAAAAAAGTGAGCTAGAAGCAGGTGAAGGAAGGAAAAAGACAGGAAAGAGAGGCGGAAAGGAAAGAAGAGAGTGAGGAGAAAGAAAAGGAGGCCGAAGAGAGGGCACAAAGGGCCACAGTGGGGAGTGGGGAGGGGAAAAGGCAGGAAGGAGAAAAAATAAAAGGCTCAGAGCTGGAGCTCACAGAGCACATCCAGTCCCCACCGACTGAAGTCTGCCTCCCATAGGAGTCCCCCAAATGTTCTTGGGTGAATGAAGAAGCAGGGAGACAGTGGACAAGACAGATACTGAGAGGAGGCAAGAGGCAAACAGAAGAAAAGAGAGCAGATCTGAAAGGAATCTAATTGTAGAAAGATGTAGTACATATACCCGACGGAATATTATGCAGCCATAAAAAAGAACAAAATTATGAACTTTGCAGCAACTTGGATGAACTTAAAGTCTATAATACTGAGTGATCTATCACAGAAACAAAGAACTGAGAGTCACATGTTCTCACTCATAAGCAGACCTTGATCAGTTATCATAATTCTATATGAAGGGGATTGGCAGTAGTGGGAAACTGCCGGGGGGTGGGGGCACACCTCCTCAACAAGGGTACCTGCATAACTAACATTTGTATACCTAACCCTGAATTGTACCTCACATCTTTAAAGTAAACTTTTTTTTTTAAGAAAAAGCCAGTTACAGACCCACCCTGCAACAGGAGGCAGCCCCCCGCTCCATGCAGACAGCGCCACCCCCTTTCTTCAGAGTTCATAATAATAATGTACATATACTCATAATGAAATAATAATAACACCTCCATTTACTCTCCTGGCCTGGCCCCTCCTTCTGGTACCTTCAACCTGTCCCTCTCCTGAGCTTCTAGTGTGAGCACCTAATAGGCCTGGGCCCTCCTTTTTTCTCTCTCCCTCCCAGTCAGTGGCTAATCCTTCCCATCCTCCCCTTCTCCCCTTCAGCCAGGTCTCCTTTCCCAGCAGGCCATAGACTGTCCTCCTCCCACCTTCTCCAGCCTCATCTGACTGAACCCCTCAGCAGGACTGGACACAACAGTACGGTGCTCCACCCTTCTGAATCCCTTTCCTTGCAGCAGGCCTCACGATTCCGCACTATTCTCCTCTTCTTTCCTCCTCCTAGTGCTCTTATGATGTCAGAGCTCCTGCAGGTTGGGTCCTTGCCTTCTCTCCCTCCTATCACTCCCTGAGTGTCAATGGCTTTGAACGTCACCTACGCTTGGAGGTATCCCAGAACCAGGGACATGCCAAGACCTGCCCTTGAAACTCTGCATCCACAAATTAACTGCTTCACTGAGGGCTCTGCAGGGGTGAGGTCCCCCCTCTCATCCTGATCCCAAACAGTTACTTGCTTGTCATACCCACCGCCTCATATTGTAAACATCTATCTTCTTGTTACTTGTCTATAGCCATTTCTGAGGACAGGGGCCATGCATGTCTTATTCATTGCCATAGCCAGGTACCTGCCACAAGGCCTACGTGGAGTCGGGGCTCAGTTTGTGTTTGTGGGAAAAGGAAAAGAAGAAAAGGAGGAAAGGAGGGAGGAAGGAGGAAGGGAAGAAGGAGGGAGGGAGGAAGGAGAGAAGAGGGAGAAAGGGAGGGAGGGAATAAAAGAGAAAGGGAGATGGGAAGACAGAAAAATGCAGGCAGAGGGAGAGACAGAGGAGAGAAGGAAAGAGGAAAGGAGGGTGAGAAAGATAAAGGGAAGGTAGGAGGGAGGGGAGGGAGGGAGGGAGTAAAAGAGAAGGGAGTTGGGAAGACAGAGAGCAATGTAGGTTGAGGGGAGATGGGAGAGAGGGAAAGAGGAAAGGAGAGTTGGAGGAGGCAGAGAGAATAATGAGACAAAAATGAGAGGTAGAAACACAGAGAATCCTAATAGCAGAGAGAGACAGAGACATACAGAGCTGAGAAGAAGGAAGGAAGAGAGAAATAGGGAAGGGCAGAGGCAAACACGGAGACAGAGAGGAGAATCTGAACGAGGCAGAGACAAGGAGGGAGCACTGGGTGGGGCTGAAGGGACCAGAACGGGGGCTGAGGACCTCCGAGCCCTACCATTGCCGTTGGCCAGCTTGGCCAGGGTGATGATGACAAATTCGTCAGTGAGGTTGAGGGGCTTGAGGTGGTGTTGCAGCTCGTACATGACCAAGCTGAAGTGGTTTCGGGACAGAGCCACCAGGGTGTCACTGGCCACCTCTGCCTTCACGTAACCCTCCATCTGCAGGGAATGGGAGAGGGGCATGTGGCACCACCCTCAGCTGGGCCTTCATGCAAACCCTCCTGCCCCATGCTCTCTCCACCCTTCTTGACCCTGTTGGGCTCAGCCTACCCTGTCCTGTTTGGCAAGGGTATAGGGTCTGGGGCATCCAGGGGCAGGGCACCAATGGCTCAGCCTAGGCTGGCAGAGGGAATCCCAGGGCCCTCCTACCTCTGGGATCTCCCTCATCTCCTTGGAGGCGATGGCCACCAGCCTCTGGACACAGCGCTCCTCCAGCTCCCCCTCCTGCTGGATGATTTCCTGGAGGATGTTGTAGATACTGACCTTGCGCTGGGTGGAAATCTGGGAAACAAGTATGGTCAGTGGGAAGATACTCAGCCAGGCAGGGGCCTGGCATAAACCCCACCCTGCTCCCAGCATCACGAGTCCACTTCCCTTCCTTCTCATTGTCTTCCTTCCCCACACCTCATCTGGAGAAGGTAACCACCATCCTCCAACCATACATATCTCAGATCCCAACTCCTTCATTTCCAACTCCTGCTTCCTTTCTCCTACCCTACTCATCCCACTGGTGATGTCAATATGACTTGCGTGTCTGTACTCCCTGCCTTGTTTTCAGTCAATATTTAGCAAGACAGGTGTCAAATGGTCAACACACAAGGTCAATAACATGCACTGGGCTTGGCCATTTTGAAAGCCCAAGAAGGCAGGCTCACCTTGCCGTTAGCCCTAGTGAGGGAGCGTGTAAGACCAGGAAATTTGCCTCTTACTCTCTCTTCAGTCCTGCAGGGTTGGCACTTATCACCACTGAAAGTTACCTGGTTTAGAATGGGATTGGACAGATGGATTGTGCACCCCAGACCATACCTGGAGAGTTTTATTTGAGAATGATGCACTTAATCAGGCATGATAAGCCACTCTTCAGGAATGAGGGTTGACTTTCTACATGGGGTCACTGCCTGCAAAGACTTCAGGGAAAATGGCCTGCTGCCTCAGGGTAGAAAGGGCACTTCCCAACAGTCCAGAAACCCTGAGCAAATTTGGTACCTCAGTAAGAGAGGAATTCACTCAAATCTATAAGTTTTACGGTGAAATTTAGCACAGGAAGTTTTGGCCTTGGTTTTCTAGTTTTGGGATAGCAAATATTAGAAGTTTTACAAACTCTAATCTCTGATTGCAATAATAATGCCTGGACAGAAATTAATGATATGACCTTAGTAGCTCATCAGTTCTGCGTGGCTCAAGACCAGTGTTTCTCAACCGTTATTATTATTGTTATTGCCCCTGAAGTAGGCTTGCTAGATATTTTTTCCTAAGGCACCATAGATGTGGAGACAACTACAATACCCCACAGCCAGCTGAAACTTTAATACTTAGACATATTATATATATGCATGTGTATGTATACACACACACACACACACACACACACACACACACACACACACACACACCCAGAGGTGCCAAAAATGTATACACATTTTAAGAAATGTTAAGAGATGTTCACTGAAATCAGAAGTGTCTTGACACTGGTGGTAACCACTTTGAGCACCTCTTGTAATTGTAGAAGTCAAACGTGACTTGTATTCATCTTATTGAGTATTACAATTTTAATGCAGTTTTTTCCTTTTTTTAAAATGTGTATACATTTTTTGGCACTCTCTGTATTTTTATGTGCTGTATACATATCTGTGCTTTAACATGAAAAAGTAAAATTTTCTTTATCCCCCAAGAACCAGTTTCCTTAACCGGGAGCAATATCATCCCATTGAGAATGCAAGCTCTAGATTTTCAGACTAGACTCAAGAAGGCCTATTTGCTTCATTCACACTCTTGCTGCACCCTATATAAATAGCCAGGCAAATTATAATAAGATCAGCATTTTTTGTGATCAAGAATAATCTTCAGAGAGTATTTATAGTCACAAGACAAAAATTGTCAAAGACGTAGAAACCAGCAGAAGCAATCACTAAGTTGCCTTCCAGAGCCGTGCTTGGTGCTGTCTGGCAGATGCTCTGGGGTTATGGAATTCAATAGGGTGTGCATCTTTGATTGCCAAGGTGACTTTACAACTCTGTAGGGAAAGAAGTGAAGTCTTAGAAGATGGGTAGCAATGCACATGTTTCCTCCACAGCAATGAAAACAATTCCTGCTCATGGCAATGCAAATGGATTTTGTCTGGTAAAGCATAGAAATCTCTACAGGTATAATTCTTATTTGAACAGCTTTTAACATCTAACTGGTTCCTTAATTAATTAAGGATTAAATAAAATATTTGAAGCATGTTAATTTCAAAATGTACCTATTCGTTTATTGTCACTGATCACTGGTTAAGGCCTGCATATTAATCATGCTTCATTTCCCAGTGCTTTGGCATCTGGCCTTGTTAACCCTGGAGAGGCTGCTTCTCCCAGAGCTAGCCAATTCCTAGAGCTAGGAAACAACCTGCCCAGGAGCTTTTTTTTTTTGGTAGAGATGTGGTCTCACTATGCTGCCCAAGCTGGTCTCAAACTCCTGGGCTCAAGCAAACTTCCTGCCGTGGCCTCCCAAAGTGCTGAGTTACAAGCCTGAACCGCTGCACCAGGCCAGAATGCTTTTTTAAATGCAAAACAACTGTTGTGGACTGAATTGGGTACCCTAAAAATCCATATGTTAAAGCCCTTAACCCCGTAATGGGATGGTATTTGGAGATGAGTCCTCTGGGAAGTAACTAGGGTTAAATGAGATAATGGGGCTCTACTTTCATGGAATTAATGTCCTTATAAAAGGAGAGGACATAAGAGCGTTTTCTTTCTCTCTGTGCATGCACAGAAGAAAAGCCATGTGAGGACACAGTGAGAAGGCAGTCAAGCAAAAAGGAAGCAAGGAAGAGAGTCCTTAGCAGAAACTAAATTTGCTCGTACCTTGATCATGGACTACCAGTCTCTAGAACTATTAGAAAATAAATTTATGTTGTTTAAGCCACCCAGTCTGTGATACTGTGTCATGACATCATGAGCAGACCAATACTCCAACCAATTCAGAGCCCACCTCCCAACCATCTCCCTCGTCAGGCTCTAACACAGGCAAGTCCAACCTGCCGCCCATAGGACGCATGTGGCCCAAGACAGCTAGTAATGCAGCCTCACAAAATCTTTTAACATCATGTTAAAGCAAACATTTCTGACACCTTGAGAAGTCTTGTTATGTATATATACTAGCTAAATTATATAATTTATGTGAGGCCCAAGACTATTCCTCTTTTCTCAAAGTCAAAAGGTTGGATACCCCTGCTCTAACTCTTTGTGCCACTATTCACTGGACCTAATCAAAAAGGAAGGCACCATAGAATTTGGGACAGCTACTATGCCCCAGAGCCAGCTAAAAGTATTGAAACTAGCCAATACTAAGCCTTCTTCCTCTGTCTCAAAAGTTCCTTCCCACAGAAACCACAATAAAAACTCTTGCTTATAATTTCCCCTCACTCCTTCTGCCTCCTGACAGACTCACCTGCTTCCCTGTGTGATCCTGCATGGTGTGGTGTGCCTACTCCTCTCAGGAACTGTGAGTAACAAACTATCTTTTCAAAGTCAAGTGTCTTCTAAGCTGTTGACCTCACTATATTTGAATAATAATAACACCCACATTTTAAAACAGCATGTTTGGAAAACCCCTTGTTTGTGTTCCCCAACTCCTGCACACCTCTCTCATGGTTGCCATACACCTTTCTACAAAATGAAATTTTCGAAAGAAGGATCAAAATAACAAAGAGAGGCAACTGAGGGAGAACACTGGAATTCGGCAAGAAGGTGAAAAGCCTCTCTTAGGCACATAAATCCAAGATGGCAGCGTAAAGAAGGATGTGAAGCAGCCAGCAAGCAGGGATCACTCAGAGTCAAGAGGGACTCCCTATTGCAGAAAAATGGTAAGCAGGAGATCCTCAGCAGTCCACGTTTGCAACACAGATGCCTGTAATCCTGACTCAGGAGAGCCCCTCAGCTCTCACGTTTCCTGAGCATAGTATAAGGAGCTACCTGGAGTCCACACTGAGGGACTCCCTCAGAAAGGGAATGTCCTGTATCCCTCCCATCCCCTGGACCCAGGCTACTGTAGCAGAGCATCATTTTGAGAGTGGGGTCACTACCAGACTACATCCTGCTCTGGAAAGAACAGCGCTTGCAATGCATTTTTTTTTTTTTTTGAGTTGGAATCTCACTCTGTCATCCAGACTGGAGTGCAGTGGCCACTCCCGGCCACCGCAGCCTCGAACTGCTGGGCTCCGGCGATCCTTCCACCTCAGCCTTCCAAGTAGCCTGAATTACAGGCATGCGCTACCAGGCCCAGCTGATTTTTTGATTTACTGTAGACATGAGGTATCGCTGCCCAGGCGGGCTCAGGCAATCCACTTACCTCAGCCTCCCAAAGGCGCGGGATTACAGGCTGAGCCACCGAGCCCGGCTTACATTGCATTTCTACATTGCATTCACCCTACCCTGTCAGGGTCCCCACTGACATCTCCCCACAACCATCCAAAGGACTACATCATTAACAGTGCCAGCTAGACCAAGTGAGGCAGCTATGCTCACCCAAGCCTCTGTAGTGTCCTACACCCTGAAGAACAAACAGTCTGGCATATCAGGGAGACAAAACACACATTCCCCAGAACCTGAGAGCTGCCTGCCTTGCAACAGTGACCCTGATCCAAATGTGGTAAAGTCTGAGGATAGGCCTTTCCAGGGTCCACTGCCACCATCACTAGCAACCACACATGCCACCCAGGAGCCCAAGAGCCAACCTGCCATGTGCCATCTACCACAAAAACCCATGCCCACTGCCCAGGGATCTGAGGACTAGCCCTCCAAGGCCCACTGCTGCCATTGTCAGTGAACTCAACACCTCCAGCATCAGAAACATCATGTGTTTGCACATGTCCCCCAGGGGCTTAAGGACTGATTCATCTGGTATCCCCACTCCCAGCAAAATTGCCCACAGCCTGCACAAATAACTTCAGCATAAGCCTCTGAGGAACTCACAGACACCACTGATATTGATAACAACTGAATAAATAGCACAAAGACTACACTACTTTACGCATCCAGAAGCAAAACCAAATTGCCATTCCCAACTGATAATATAGGTGCATATACAGGAAAACGTATTATTCTATGAAAGCTACTTCATAAAATTAGAAGCAACTATTATACCAGATGTGCAGATATCAATATAAGGACACAACAAAAATAAAAAAGCAAGGAAACATGACACTTGCATAGGAGCACAATTCTCCAGTAACCGACCACAAAGAAAAGAAAATCTATAAAATGACTAGAAAGAAATGCAAAATAATAATCTTACATAAGCTC